CAGTTGATAGCTGGTCACCTCTCTAAATTTATCTCAAATTAATTCAATTTGGCTGTGAGTTTTTGTTTGTTTGTTTGTTTAATGATGTTTACATAGTTGATTAGGGTGGGAAGAATCAAGGGTTTGGGGAAAGTAGGTAAGACCATTGTTTCAAATTTTCTTTTTCTTCTTCCTGTATCTGGAGAAAAGGGGGAGTGAAGGGGAGAAGCCACATCCAGCCTCCCAACTGCCCAGGGATGGGGAAGGACCATTCAGTATCAACCCAGGGTCCCCAGTGTGGAGCATGTTCCAAGTGTTCTGCTTAAGTGGTTTCGATAGTTCTGAAATGCTGTCAGTCTCACCGATCCAAGGATGAGGAAATCCTTCCAATGTCCTCTGGCTGACATAGTCCACCACAGAATCTCCATTCACCCAGATATCTGCTGTCATCACTTGACTGGGATAGTTGTCCAATTTTTTCTGCCCTCCTTCCTCTGCCATGGTACCAGAAGTCCTCTGCATGCCCCCATGGACTTCCATATCTTCCATGTACATCTGGGCCTACCATTCACTGCTCCATCTTTTCCACTGAGGAGGCCCAGTTCTGACACATGTATTCAACTGTCAGACCACCACTCATGGACATAAGCCCGCATGGCCCCACATATTCCAACCTGTACCATCCACCAGACCTCCTGCAACCCCACACACCAAGCTCCCACCACCACACTGCTGAGCAGCCAGTATGACAGCAGTAGCCACAGCACAGGTAGGCCAAAGGACTAGATCAGGAAACCTGGGCCCCAGTGAACTCTCACCCCGGGGGTTCATGGACCTGGCATTCCCCATACACATAAACATATCTTTAGAAAAAACCAAAATAGAATAGGGTAGGCAACTATGCTGATACAATGGTATGGTTAACACAGATTTGGCAGTAACCAGGCCCAGGATGCCCGCCAGCTAGTAGCTGTTTTTTTCCCAGCAGTGTAACACTTGCCTACGTACAATGCAACTTAGGCTGTTGTCCACAGTTGGGGTAAATAAATAAATCTTTAAAAAAACTATAAAAAGTGAGTAGACGGAAAGTGTTCAGGGTCAAGATAATAAAACAGAAAAAAAAATTTAGAATGTAACAGAGAACATAGGTTAACTGATCAAGCATTAGCTGACAGACTACATATTTAAGTATTTTAGTTCACTCCCTAAGTGACTATGATGGCTAAAGTCAGGAGTCAAACCTAGGCACTCTATTGTAGGAGTGCATGCGTCCCTAAATACATCAACACATCATTTTTTTAAAGAATGACAGGATAGATTATCTCATCAGGTAAAAAACTACAGTCACCTGAGATGCTTGACCAAGTGTCAAGCATACTGAAAGGGTAATGGAAGACGGTCATTAGAAATAACAGGTAGACATATGATCAGTTATAGAAATTAGAGAGAGATACAGAGACACGCGCAGAACTTCTATATGCTAGCTCTTACATGCAACAGCCTTCACGGGGCCTGGTTGAAGCCAGGAGCCGCAAAGTCAAGCAGTCTCCTACATTGGACATCAGGGATTCAAGCACTTGGGACATCATTTGCTTCCTCCCAAGGAACACACTGGTAGGAAGTAGAGATTTGGATCAGAAGTGCATGTACTCTAGGCACTTGAACATGAAGTACAGTCACTCCAAGTGGCCTCTGACCTTGTCCCAAATGCCAGTCCCTCCTCCTATCCCTCTCTATACAAGTAAAACGTGTGTAATATATCCTTGCTTTCCTGTTTTTTCTTTTTATGTTTTGATTTCCTTTCTTTTAATTCCTAGGCAATAAATTATTAACTTTATATTGTACTATTTAAATATTATTGATTTGATATTACCGTATCTATTTATAATTTATCATCCTGAACAGAAAACCTCACTCAAAAACTTTACCCTTCTTCTGGGGAAAGAGCTATTATGTCTTCAATAGCTTCAACAGGATCATTGCATGACGTTAGGCAAAATTATGACCAGGTGACTGTTTCTGTTTTGCATTAAATACAGTTCATACAGCTGTGTATGCATGAAGATGACAAATGGTGGGTTTATGATGCTTAGTTTTATGAGTCAACTTGATTGGGCCAAGAGAGGCCTAGATAGCTAGCTAAACATTTCTGAGTTGATAAGTAGAAGCAATTAGCATTTGAATTAGTGAACTGCCCTAAAGTATACCACACCAATCCTGGAAAACCTAAATAGAACAAAAAGGCAGAAGGAAATAAAGGAAAAAATTATCTCCTCCTCCCTCCTTTTGTGCCTGTGGCCTAAAACAGCGGTCTCCTCTTGCCTGTGGACTGGTCCTGGTTCTCACACTGTCAGATTCAATGCTGACTTTCCTGATGGTTCAACAACTCCTTTAACTTCTCTGTGTTCCCAGCCCACAGATAGTTACGCAACGGACCCTAAGGTGGACAACGTTTAGGCTTCCTTTCTCGAGTCAGTTTTTCTCTGGCTCAGACATCAATGACCCTCTACGCACGTAAGACTCAGAATTCAGTGCCCGTCTCATCTCAGGAGGGTATATGGAAATAACAGTGACAACAGAGCAGAGCTTCCCATTTGTCCATTCGTAGGAAATCATCCTCAGTTTATGAATGAAAAAGGAACACTTTCACATTCCTTCCTCCACTGCCATGTCACTTCCAGCCCACCCCTTCTGAACAACAACAATCTTTTCATCCGGTCTGGTTAACCCGTGGCTCAAGAAGCAAGTTTTTCTACATGACTGGTGTTTCATATGGGAATCCAGAGCTCTGCCTTCAGAGCCCAACAGAAATAAATAAAACAACAAATTGTCAGTGCCTTGATCGTCACAGCAGGGGCGCCTATCATATCATCAGCTTTCTTGTCCCAAAACGTATGAACTGCCTGAAAGTCCAAAGTAATTGAAAGGCAGGCATAGCGCACACTGGTTTCTCAGATATTCATGGAAATTGCCTCCTGCTGAGGCTGCTTTCTGCCTTAGTGTTTTAAAGAAGAAAACAGACTATCCTGTCCATAACGCAAGCACTAAATACACTTTAGTTCATCAAGGAAGAAAGCTCTCAGTGGACCAGGAGGAGGCTGCTCAGTTGTGCCAGCCCTGTGTTATCAGGGACCCAATCTCCCTTTCCTTCCTCCTCTCCACTCCATTTCTCATCCCTCCATGTCCTACTCTACTCTGCCCTTCTCTTTTCTACTCCCTCACTTCAACAGAAAAAACAGAAATTGCATATACAACTGAACCCTCACTTCATCTTATATCCCAAATATGCAGCATCTTAGCTTATCTTCAAATTTATGGTAATCAGCCTCCACTAGCCATTAGGATGGTCTCACAAATAATCTACAGGCATACAGTAGGACAGCATAAATGTGATAGGTGGGCATATGAAGTCTGGGTTTGAGTGAATGGTGGGCACAGTAGTTAAGCCACAAGTCAAGTTGCTCAGTTAGTGTCCTAGCTTCCGCTCATGATTTTCACTTCCTGATGAAGCACACCACAGGAGGCGTGGGGTGATTGCTCAAGTCCCTGGGGCCCCGACACTGACTTGGGAGACCTGGATTGGATTTATGGCCCCCAGTGCATTTGGCAAGTCAACCAGTGGCTGAAAGCTGTCTATCAATTTTCCTTTTCTTTTTTCTTTTCTTTTTTAAGAGCAAAGCCAGATTTTCATTTTAAAAAGAAAAAGGTGTACTTTCCAAGCCATGATTTCATGGTCTTCACCAGTCTGGCATTCTCAAGCCTATCCCCTAACCAGGTCTATACCTACAATGTCATGATACACTTGAATAACAGAATGATGGACTTGTGACTATTGCTGAAGGACTATATATGTAATAATATAGGAAAAACAGTGGGGAGAGGGTACAAAGGGAAATCTCTGAGCCTGTGGAACTGTATCATGAAAAATGAATATTAGAAAAAGAAAAATAAATGAACTCCATAATATCCAACAAATGCAACAGAAGTATCTGAATGCTATTATTTTTAACTACTTAAAATCTCCCTCCTTTTTACTTCCATATATTCTATCTGCATCCACCCTCAAGGGTGCTGTAAAACAAAAAACTAGATCTGGATCATTTATAAAACTTTCAACAAGAACATGCTCACCATTCCTCATGGAAATAGCCTCTGAAATTAAACATAATACAGACCCAGGAAATGACAGAGTAGAATCTTTTACAAACATGCCCATCCTTGTCATCTTAAGCTCAGTTGAAATGTATTCACTAGTATCAAGACTAGAAGTAATATTTAGACATAAAAGTATACTTTAAGTTGTATTTAAGCCCATTTATTTCACCTCCCATGGCTGCTATTTTGGTTTTGATGAAAGATGAATGCAAAATAAACAGAAGGTGAATACTTCAAACTATATACCTTCCTGAAAAACCTGGGCATGTAGCCACATTAGAGAAAAACTGCTCTCAAATACATTTAATGCAAAGGCCTGAGCTGATGCAGGCCTTGTGTTTGATACAGACTAAAGAAAAGCCCCAGGAGAAAACTGAATTGTATTTGTTCTCAGACAAGAAGGCAGCAGGTGCCCTGCGACCACAGCATAATGAATTCTGCTCTGACATTTAAGGTTCAATCTCCTGACAAGAATAGGATTGCTACAGTTGACTCCATAGAGTGAAGTGTGGGATTGCTAGCCAGGATGGAAATCATTGTGTCTGGTGTCTTTCTCCATTCAAGGTCCCCTTGATTTTGCTTTCATTGAGGGATGCAGTCTCTCTAATCAGGAAATTGTGTTCCTTCTGTTTTCCAAATCAATTTATAAGCAGTGTTCTGGCCTATGGGTTGGGTCATTTTTAATAGAATCATAGGTCTGAATTGAGGCATTTGAATTTCTCTAATCCTCTGGTTTTATTGATTTTAAAAACATCCAAATCCAGAGAAGTTTGCCATTTTTTCAAAAACACACAACTAGTTCATGTAAAGGCTCAAAAACATTCTGTCTCCTGAAATATAAAAAAAGAAAGACGAGAGTATCTGGGTTCAGACTTGGGAAAACAAAGGGTATATTTATACAATGGCTGGACTGAGGAAACCCAAGGCAGAGGAAGTAGAAAGAACGTGCCTCTACACTGGCAAAGCATCTAACTGGCTCGTGACACAGATGTGTTACTCAGCCGGGCTAATTGGGCAGGCACTCAGGAGCCTACAGGCCTTCTGCAGCACAGGGCTCTATGCTGGTAACAGACAGGCTCTGCCCTCTGCATCGCAGGACTCCAGCCTCACATTCAGACATTGTCTGCTCCTTGCCGTTCACTTCCACACAGACACGAAACCCTTCATCCTCGCACTCCAGTGCTTCTCGGCAGACACAATTACCGCTCTGGGCTGGGGAAAAAATAAGCAACAGAGGTTTAATGGCACCTCGTGGAGGTGGGAGAATCAAAACACATTATTCCCCCCAAAGCAATGTTGCTGTGATTAGAGAGCTACACAAGTGCCTGCCTCAAGTGATACAACAAACTATCCCATGGAAAAGCAGTTGCATCAAGAAGTGGAGGCATTTTGCTTGACTTGGAATAAATGGATTTTGAGGCTGGGGCCAGGCTTTCTATTGGTTGGATCCACATGAGCTGGCTCTATCCCAGGCAAGAACTTCCCATCTGTCTCCTTCCACACGCTGCTATCCAAGTTAGCCTGCAGTCCTTCACTCCACAGACCAAATGTGAAGACCCCAGCCAGGAGCCAAGAGACAAGGCTCAAGCAGAGTAAGAAAGAAAACAAGCCACTAAACTCTCTTCAAGAAAGAAGGCACGGCATGTAAAAGGCATCCTGTACAAGCAAAGCAGCAAAGTGATCTGGAGGAAAGGAATTAGGAGTGAAGAGAAGCACACAGCTGGACCAAGCAGATTTCTCCAGAAAGAGAATAACAGAGTCAGCCAGAGGACGGCGGTGACTATCAAGTCCAAGATGACCCAGACTTGAATAAAGGTCACAGCCATGACCATCACTGCAAATCACGAGGCAGTGAGAGAAGCAGGTAAGGGCCAAGACTAGGAGGGAACAAAGAACCAGCACGAGCTTGACAGAGCTCATAGCCACTCCCAAATTAACAGAAAGCAAAGCTTAACGCAGTGACTTAGCTCTGGATAGCCAGCCCTTCCTATCTTGTAAAATCTTAAGATTTATTTATTTATTTGAGAGGCAGATTTATAGCGAGAGACGAGAGTGACAAGCGTGTGATCTACCCACTGACTGACTTGACTGACTCCCCAAAGGGCTACAGTGACCAGAGATGAGCAGCTCTGAAGCCAGGAGACAGGAACTTCTCAGTTGCTCATGGCTACAGAGGTCCAAGTACTTGGGCCATCTTCCTACAATTCCCAGTATCCCACAGGGGTGCCAGTTTGTGTCCTGGCTGCTTTATTTCCCATCTTGTTCCCTGCTAAAGGCCTGGGAAAAGCAGATGAAATGACCCTAGCTCCTGTGCCCTTGTCACCAATGAGGGAGACTGAGTGTTAATTTTTGGCCTGGCTCAGTCCTAGCCATAGAGGTCGTCTAGAGAATGAATTTGTAAATGGAAGATCTCTCTTTTTCTAACTCTTTCAAATAAATAAATCCTTGAAGAAAAAAAAAAGAAAAAGATGATTGTAAGTACTACTTGGACACAGCACAGGCTAACTAATAGCATCGAGCTGCAAACAGAGAAAGTGACTTTTTTTTTAATTCTGCTTAAATCCCTTTGATTACTTCTGGGAAGAAGTATCAGCTTGACCCCAGTATGTATTTAACAGTTCCCTAACACTTGCTAAATTCCCTTTATCCCAGATAGCATCATCAACCTCGGGGCATTACCTGGCTAGAACTCACAACTTAGTTACATTACATGTACGTAATACTTTCCTTTACAGACCTGCTAAACTTTTCCATTTATACTAAATTGTCCTGTGAGTTGTTTTAAATGGTTTATATCAGGATGCCCAGGCTCCGCTCCTGACTCCAGCCTCCTGAACATCCTAGGAGGCAGTGGGTGATAACTCAAGTACCTGGATCCCGGCCACCCTGTCAAAGGCCTGTATTGAGTTTCCCATTCCCAGGTCCAAGCTGGCTAGGCCCAATTACCATGATCATTTAGGGAGTGATTCAGAGAATGGGAAATTCATTCAATCTCTTTCTCTCTGTCTCTCTCTCTATAAAATAATTTAAAATAGTAATAACAATAATGTGGGTAATACAAGAACAGAGCAATAGTCATGAGGGTGGGATGGGGATGACCCCTGTCTGGATAACACCTGAACATCACAACCAAGTCCTCGCTGACTCAGGTAATAGATGACCGCAATCCTCCCCAGGAAGGGAAGTGGCAGCATACAACTCACTGTGAAACCAATCTTAATCTGAAGTATCCACTTTGATTCTCTGTTAAACTAAAAGCTACAGTTTGAGAATCCTCAGTTCTGCCAACTTCTCACTCTCATACTCAGAATTCTAAGACGTCCTTACCATCGCACTTTTCCCACAGTGGACACGCACTGCAAGGTTTCTGAGCCGCGACAGACACATGACAGCTGTCCCTGTTTGTCAAGGTGTAATTTTTACCCTGACAGTGCAGAACATGCAGCTTGCAAACTGTCAGAGTCAGAGTCCTCTTCCTTCTCTCTTCTCGAGCACACACATCCAAGGAAGATCTGAAAGAGTGTTTTTAACCACATTACACACAAGATTTCCATTCTTAAAGGCTGAGAAGGAAAAGTGGAAAGCAAGGAAACAGACTGCATCTGGGCTCACAACCATTTTCGCTTACATTGCTCAGTTTTCATTACATTAGATATTATTTTATACTCTTGATACAGGCTCAAAAATTTGGGTTTGCATTGACAATCATAATAACTGAAAGCCAAGTAATAGTTGACAAATTCGTGTGGTTTGGGGTATTTTCTTAAAAGTTTATTTTATTTATGTGAAAGGCAGAGTTAAACAGAAAAAGAGAGAGGTCTTCCATCCACTGGTTCACCCCACAAATGGCTGCAACACCTAGAGCTCAGCAAGGTCAAGGCCAGAATCCAGTAGCTTCTTCCAGGTCGACTGCCTAGTGGTAGAGGCCCGAGTACTTGGGCCACGCTCTGCTACTTTCCCAGATGAATTAGCTGGGAACTGAATCAAAACTAAAATAGTCAGGATTTGAACCCATTACGCCACAACTGCAGCTCCTCAACTTCAGTGTTTTTTGTTTGTATGTTTGTTTCTTAACCTTAAAGGTGACTTGTAAGCCCAGGTGCTGGATAGTTCCCATCCCCTTCCAGGTCACTTTCACATCCTCTTCCTCTGCCGGGGAAGCTGACATGCCTGAAATATATTACAGACTTCCTTGTCCTCCAGCACACAGTGAGCTTTACCAATGGGCAGCACTGGCAGAAGATGGGTACCCAGGGAAAAGTTGGGCTGGGATGTTTAACACCCTGAATCGCTCCTGTGGGATCTTGCGCTCTCAGAGGTCCTGATACGAAAGCCTCAGCTGCTCCTCAGCAGCCAGCTCCACAGAGCCCTCTCTGGTCTCCAGGTGCTCGCCAACATTTCTCTCCTCATGGGCATAGACATAGATGCGTGGTCTGTTTGTTGACGGTACTGCCCTATGGCCTATGCGCAGCCTCCTTCATTCTGCCCATATTTTTGAAATAGTCCTGATAACAAACCTATTTTTATCCTAATGTAACTATGCCAACAGTATCCTATTAGGATCATAACACAGCCATGTAGCAAATACCGTACTTCTGATGCTCTCCTCCAAGGGAGGAATTTCCAGTTGGCAGCATTTTAGAGAAGTAGCTTCCAGAAGCCAAAAAGCGGGGTGGGCCTCCTGGCACAGGTTGAGATACCGCTTATTTTTATTCCATATTGGAGTGTCCACATTGACACCTAGCTCTGTCTCCACCCAGCTTTATGCTAAGGCATATCCTGGGAGGCAACAGGTGAGGCTCAAGAGTTTAGAACTCTGATTCACATATGGGAGACGTGGTTTGGCTCCTGACTGCAGCCTAGTCCAACCTCAGATGTTGTGGGCATTTGGGTATCAAATCAGTAGATGGAAGATTTTTTTTCTGAGTGTCTGTCTTTCAAAAAACCAACAATCTATTATTTATTAAAAAAAAAAAAAAAAAGGAATCTCTGTCAGTATTGCCTTAATCATTTATGTCGCAAGAGAATTCCAGCTCCCATCCTGTAAAGCTCTAAAACTTCAGATTATTGTACACAGAGAACAAGGAGCACTCCAGGAGTCCTTCAGCCCTGAGTTTTCAGGAGGCAGGTGAAAGCGCTGCTGGCCCTGGAGACCCGGGCACACATCAGGCAGCAGACGGGCCAGACTAAGTGGCAAACATCATCAATCCTTAGTCAGCTACACCAACGATTCAGCAAGAACGATCACCTAACAAACCATCCTGATGATCTTCAATCAAGTAAGGCATAGGGATGAGCAGAGATATTTACCCACATTCATAAGGCATTTTACAAACACATGTTGAATCTTGCAGTTTCTCCCAGCGCTGACATTCAGGCACTTCTTGCGCTAAAGGAGAGTCTGAAAGAATAAGACAAAGCTCAATTATCAGGGGAGAGAAGTCTTCTTCACAGTAAATGAAGTTTTTAATCCAAGTTTTTAAACCAAGGCCTGCAGTAGTCTCAACTACAATGAGTTTGTATATCACAAATAATAGTAAAGCTGTAAAGTATTTTACACTTTAAATAATTGCATGGCTGATACAGATAGCTTCTATTTTCTCAGCATTTATAACCGATAATGTACTTCTTAAACATTATCATCTTTAATCATCCCTAACAACCATCCATTTAATAGAAAAGAAACTAGGATTAGAAAATTTAGGAAAACTGTTGCTATTGCATAGACTTAATAAAGCCAGGATTTAGGTCTGTGTTTGAATCCAAGCCCAGTAAAACAGATTCCTTATTAGAAAGTCAGTGTTTACAAACAGTTTAGAACTGCATTTTGCTCAATGTCACCTCTGATGGGACAGAAAACAACAACATGATGTGACTTAGAGGTGAAAAACTTGCAGCTATCCTGGAAATATATACAATGGTCTCTTTAAAAGTGTCCACAAAAACTCTCTACAACAATAAGTATGTGTTTGGAAGTAAATTAACAGAATTTCTTCTGTTATTTTGTGGTTTGGAGGGAAAAATTTTAGCCATCATTCAAGTTCTGAGAGAAAAACACCTTGGCCTAGCTTACAAACTTCGCTATCCTCTCAACTGTATATGACTACAGCGTGCATAATACGAAATCTCTTGAAAAGGCACCTTGGGTGTGGTCAAGACAGGAACCCATAGCGCAGTTTCTAGGGTAAAATCCCAGCTTCTTTCTCCCATTCCAGGTTCCGGCTAACACTCACCATGGAAGCCAAGAGGCAACAGCTCAGGTGGTTGGATTTCTGCCACCCACTTGGGAGCCATGGGTTGAGTTCTTGACTCCTGGGTGAAGCTCACCCCAGCTTTGAACTGGCAAGTAGGATGTATCTGCCTGTGAGCCTGTGTCCTTCTCTCACTCTCCCTCCTCCTCCTCTCCCCCCTCTTCCTTCATTCCTCCTTTTCAAATGAACAAAATAAATACAATTGTTAAAATATTCAGACATTCCACTTCCTGCCAGTCTCATTACAATGGGAATGAATTGACATATACTTCAGCATCATTAAACTAATTGTTCAACAACTATTAAAATGGTAAATTTTGTATTCTATAACTTATCATAGTAAAAAGACTAAATCCTAAAACAACCAGAACTTTAAAACAGCAACTTTGAAAGCAGCAAAGCCTATGATATTTGTGTTTATTATAGGTTTATTTTAAAGGGTAGCTAGCATTGTTATCCACTTCAGAAGACACACAAGTCTGACAAACGTCCTTAATAAAAGCCAACATTAATAGGACTTTCTACTAAGTGGGAGAAAATTCACCCAAATTTTACTTTAAAATTACTAGAGAAGATATTGTAGAGAAATAAGTATATAATCTCAGTTGAACAAACATGCAGCTTCATCAACAGAATATTGTCAGGCCTAGTATCTGAAATAACCCCCCCCCCAAAATTGACATTTGTACTTCAGTGTGTGTAGACACAAGGAAATCCCCTTATGGGGTTTAATGGCTACACTGATAGAGGATGCTCCATTGGATTCTTCTCTTGTCCTGTTTGTCACATGCCCATCCCTTCAGCCCATATTCGCCATCACTGAATGGCCTGCCCTCTTTTTAGTTAAAAACACCTAATTTGGGGACAGGGATGTGGATCTTCCACCTTTACTGTCAGTACTTCTTGTGGGTACCAATTCATGCCCCAGTTGCTCCACTTCTGATCCAGCCAAGGAAGTAAGGAAATGATAAAAACAACACTCAAGAGAGGTTTTCTTCATAATATTTCTATTATCATAGAAACAAAGACCAACAGAAAATTAACCCTTTCTACCATCTCAACTGTCTCTAAAAACAAATAATTTGGTGCCAGAGGCCAGCTCCAGCCAAGTTCAGAACTTGAGAAGGGTGCGTGAAATAGGTGTAGAGAAAAAAAAAAAATGGACCACTACAATTTCAGGATCATAATGGACAATTCAGGGAAGCAGTCCCTTTTATTTATACAGAAGCAGTCACAAGCTCTGGCACTGACTTCTTACATCATGGTGTTGCATCCACTCGACTATAGAGTGCGGGCCCCGAACAGTACAATTCTATAAAGTTTTCTTTAGGGGCAGTTTGACACAGCTTCAAGGAGGGGGCACAATTTACAACAGGTGAGTGAGGAAGGATTACACATTCCTTGCTTATCTCAGCTTGCCAGCCGCTGCCTGCTCTCCTCAGGTCTGGGCTCCAACCTTGGCGCCACCTGTGACAACCAGACCCCTACCTTGAATTATCTATGGGTTAATAAGTCTGGGGCCTTGGTTCTTGGGGATTGGGGCCTTTGGCACTAGTTGGCGATTAGGCCTGCAAGCTCACACAGTTTGTTAGCTAAGCAAGTAAAGCAGGAGTTATAAAGGCAAAAAGAATTGCAGTTAGCAATGAGCCATGTTTACTCCATCTTGATTTTAACTCGACAATGAACAAATAGGTGTTTCCGAAGATAATTCTGCAAATTGTTTCACCTTAAGGCATGGCATTATCCATTCTGACGTTGCAGCCAGAAATTCCTCAGCAGACAACACATATTAATCAGTAATACACTCCTACTACAATTCTCATTTTATAACTTATCAGTTAGAGGAGGAAATATATCACAGAAGGAGAAAACTAAAGATCAAGGAAAGAAAACCCTAAACATAGATTCCCACTACACCCATGGACTCAATAACCCTAAATTGGTTTGAAAGCATGTATTACAATGTTAGTACACTCATTGTTGAGCCCTTCCAGCCAAAGGGTCATAAGAGCAACTGAGACAGCATACATTGTTAAAGGCCCGTTCAGCAAGACTTTGTCATCAACATTACCTCCCAAGCTCATATTGATTGTAAAAACCATCTCGCAGGGGCAAACAACAATGTCTGAATAGATTACAGAATTCTTTGCAGGGTGGCCGGGTATCCTCACAAAGGGAGATGGAATTGCATTCAGGTGGTTGCAGAGACATCCGCCAGATCCTGCCATGCAACAGGAAACTTTCCTAGGCCCTGCCAAACAGGGGAGCTGTTTTCTTCACACCTTCATGTCATTCACACCTACTGCATGGACCCCAGCAGTTTGGTTTTCTAAATTCCTTTTTACTTAAAGTTCTTAATAGAATATTTCATGGCAAATGTGGTGATGCTGTCTGTTAAGGCACCACTTAGGATGCCTGCATCCCATACCAGTGTGCCTGGGCCTGAGTCCCAGCCCCTTCATTTCCCAGATAGCTTCCTGCTGACACACCTGAGAAACAGCAGATGATGGCCCATGTACTTGCGTTTCTCCTACCACTTGGGAGACCTAGGTAAAGTTTCAGGTTCCTGACTTTTCACCCTGGCCCAGCCTCAGCAAGTGTCAGCATTTGGGAAATGAACCAATAAAGTTAAGATCTCTCCCCCCGCTCAATATCTACCAACCCCCTCTCATTGTCTGTCTCTATCACTCTGTCCTAAAAAATTAATTAAATTAAATTAAATCTATCTCTTACAAAATGAAGAATACGTGAATTTGCCTGATGTTCAAAAATACTAAATTTTCAGATTTTCACTATTATGAATCAGCTTCACAATCCTCAATACTTTTATTCAATATCTTTTGCAGTGCTAAAAGCTTTTTTAAATTTCAATTTCAGTAGCAAGAAACTCTGAGAGCCCGGAGATAGAACATATGAATCTTTATACAAACTATGACTTTATACACAGAAAATCACAGGCAAAAAAAAAAAAAAAATCAAGAAGGAACCAAGAAGCCAGCTTTTAAGAATCATTTATTTTCTTGGCACTCTAACAAGTACAAAGCAAATCTCTCCTAGGGAGGACTGCAGTTCACTGTTCCAGAATCACCGGGGCTGCCCTTGCCTTTTATAACATTCCATGAAAAACAACAACAACAACAAAAAGATCTGCACCTGAGCTTACCACCTGACCTCCTTCCCTCAAGGGTAGAAACAGAACAGTATCTCATTATCCTGGTGATACAGTGCCATGATGTCTCCACAAGAACTTCCACTTGCCCCAGTGTAGGTTTCCTTGGACAGAGCCAGAGGCTACTCACCTTTCTGTACACACTGGACATTCTTCATCTCAGGGTTCCACTTCAAGCTGGAGCCACAGAGAAATGTTGAAGGGCCTTGTAAGGACATACCACCCGAACAGGAAAAGGTCACCTTGTCACCCACGGCATAGAAAGGCTTGTGGGGATGGCTCTGCACACCGTTCTCCAGCACAGGCAAAACACAGGCAATTTCTACAGATGAAGGAGATCAGAATACAAGGGTCATTGCTTTGCTAAAACATCCGTTTAAAAAGGAAAAAGAGTGACAGTGCTAACATTACAGTCTTAGGCAGCTAGTTCAGGGTCATGAGCTTAGAAGCCATGCCTCCCTCTCCCATGTAATCATTTTTGCCCACATGTGAGTTAAATGATGCTTACCTATCATCACCTGGAACCTGAAAGGAGGTGGTATTGCATGGTTGCATAAACACTCCTCTCTCAAGTCACTATAAAGGTACATGATAGGAAGGGGCTTACTGTCCTGGTCACATGCTTCCATCACTCTTGCACCCCAACTCTTGGCCTCCTAGTATCTGCTTGCTCTCTGGCTTCCCACAGACAGAACCTGAGGACACATAGCCCTTGAACATGGCCTGTGTATGTCTGCTTGGGCAACATCCAGCTCTCTGGGTGAGTCAGTTAGGATGCAAATTTTGTATTTCTAATTTGTGTACTTTCAAGAGTTTGAGGAAAGATGAGGCCTACCAGTAATGGAATGTGGACAGAGAAGTAAGGAAAAGGTGAATGTTCGCAGCTTTATGGGTCCAGGTTGTTTGCTGAATGTCTCTTAGGATAATTTAGACTGGTAGGGAAACATGATCATAGGTCTTCAGTTTCACAGTGGAGCAGCCAGCACATGAATCAGTATCCTTATTGGATCCTGAATCTGCAGATAGAGGATTAGCCTACTACTCCATAATGCCAGCACCTCAAATATTTTGTTAGGCTCCTGTTATGGCTAACCCCTTGGAATAAGGAAAACTAGGTATAAGCTAGCTTCACTAGTTTCCAAGACTCAATTTTCCATAGAAAAACAAAATAGCATCCAAGGCCTTGAATTATTTAATTTTTCATGTGCAAAATCTGACATTCAATCAAAACTAATCTAACATCCAGGAAGGTAAGAACCAAAAAAAATCCAACAGCAATAACAGCAGCAGTGGCAATAACACAGATGCAAAGACCTTGACAATGAAAGTAAGAGATACATACCTTGAAAACACTGCAATTAACATTTTGGGAAAAAATTAAGTTGTCATGATGGAGAATTTCAACAGAAAATTTCAAATTTGTAGAAGTAGATAAATGGTATTTGTGTAACTGAACAATGAAAGTAAGAATGCAATTCATTTCTTTAAAGTAGCCTATTAACCTATATATTGTTAGAATTATATATAAAAACTGCAGGAAATCTATCCTTTTTACATTAAATAAAAAGGCTAAAAATTTTAAGAAGTTTAAAATATAGAGCTACACAGTTAATTAAATGCATTTAAAGATACATCAATGGAAGCATTTAGAATGAAACAGAAAAAAAACAAAAGGTGGAAAGCCAAGAGAAAAAGAATGATTAAAAACAGCATTATGTTTAAAAAAAAATGTAGACTTCATGAGGAGAGGTGAGCCAGAAAGAGACAGAAACAGTATCTGAAGACTGAATAGTCAAGAATTTTCTAAAACTGAGAAAGGAAATTAAACCAAAGCTTTAAGAAGTGTTTTGAACATCAAGTGGGATGAGTTCAACACGATCACACCTAAGCACATCAAAGTAGAGTTGCTACTGAAAAACAGATTAAAAAAACAAAAAATAACTTTAAAATGGCCAGACATTAAAGACATGATTTTCACAGGAGAAACACCAAGACTGCATTGACTTCTCACTTGAAAACAATGAAGTCAAAAAGCAATGCAATAATATCTCCCTGGAACTTAGAGAAAACAGCTGCTGTTGCAGAGTTCTTAATCCAACAGAACTATCCTTAGGAAAATAAATGTAAAGCACAGTCATCTTTATGCAGAGACGAAGAAAAACTTTACCAGACAACTTACTATAAAAAAAAAAAAAGAAATGATCTTCAAGCAGAAATCAAATTTTTAGGGTTTTTTTTTATTCCAAGCTTCTGATATTTATTTTCTATTTGAGTTATTTTTGCTGCAAGAGTCTAGGTGGTAGACACAAAGATAGAGACAGACACTGCTAGTACCATGGTGTGGCTGGCTGAACCTCCACCTGTGGTACAGCATCCCATATGGGTACCAGTTCAAGTCCTGGCTACTTCACTTCCCATCCAACTCCCTGAAATGGCCTAGGAAAGCAGCAGGGAGTGGCCCAAGTCCTCGGGCCCCTGTGTCCAACATGGCAGACCTGGATGAAGCCTTGGACTCGTAGCTTTGCCCTGGCCCACCAAGTCCTGTCCAGTGCAGACATTTCAGGAGTGAATCAGCAGATTGAAGACCTCATTTTATCTCTCTCCTCTCTCTCTGTAACTCTGCCTTTCAAATACATACATGAAGGAAGGAAGGAAGGAAGGAAGGAAGGAAGGGAGGAAGGAAGGAAAAGAGAAAGAAAAGTGTAGTACAAAATGAGCAAAAACTTAAACACATAAAAACATCACTGGCCATGAGAGAAAGATTACAGCTAAATATTTTTGAAAAGACAAATGATATTAACTGTTGATGAGAATGCAGAACAATTTTCTCATATTCTCATAAGGATACACAATGAATCAGCCATTACATCTCTGGCAGCAACCTACTTAACCTAAATAAAAGTATATATTACAATCATAATATCTTTTAAATGTATTCCATCTAAACATAACAATATACAGCATTTTATATTCAATAATACAGAAATTTCGCTAGGAGGTATATATCTAAGAGAAAAGGTAGACAGGGCTGGAAACTGAACCAACCCAGAAATTGCAACCACTGATTGGGGTGATGGGGCGATGGACTGTGCCAGGCCCTGTACTTGCTAGTACATACAAGAATCTGGTCTGGGAACACCTCAGACAAAGTCTCTTTGGAATCAAACTGCTGGACTCAGAACCTTAACCATGAAAAGACAGAGGACAGAACTAGTCAATCAATCACCTCAGCTATATGTTGGTAGTGAAAAACTGGGCAAATGGAGACCCTAAGACAGACTATGTCAATCAGTGGATTCTTCAACAACTTCATCGTGCGTGGAGTGACCAAAGTGGCAGCAACTCAGAATTGTTGAACTATCAAGACCACTTGAGCAAGACCCTCGGAGCAAGCCCCACACCCGAGTCCTGAGGTGGGTGGGAGACTGGGTGGGGCTTCTCCCTTAAAATCCCCTTTATATCAGATATATGAAGGAAACAATTTTTAAAAATGCTAAATTTTAAAAAAAAAAGAGAAGAGAAGAGATACATGTACACACTAGGACTTCATAAAGAATTGCAGTGGAGAATTCTTTATAAAGCAAGTCTAAGTGTGTATGTGTGTATGTGTATTTCAGTTGTACATATATATAACTGATTTTAGAAAAAATATAACCCTACAGCTCCATCTATCTGTTGAATAAATTATATTTCAATTGAGATAGAAGCCACATTGTAGCTTAAATGTGTATAATATGCAAAACACACCAAGTAAAAATGTCCTTATTTAGGCATGGCCGCAGTAGCCTAGTGGTTAAAATCCTCGCCTTGCATGTGCCTAGATCTCATATGGGCACCAGTTCATGTCCCAGCTGTTCCACTTCCCAACCAACTCCCTGTTCATGGCCTGGGAAAGCAATTGAGGATGGCCCAAAGCCTTGGGACCCTGCTCATGTGGGAGACCCCTAAGAAACTCCTGGCTTCTGGCTTTGGAACTACTCAACTCCAGCCATTACAGTCACTTGGGAAATGAATGAGTGGATGAAAGATGTTCTCTGTCTCTCCTGCATGTCTGACTTTCCAGTAAAAAAAAAAAAAAAAAAAGAATGTCCTGAACATACTGCCATGAATGGCGCTCCCTGGCCTGTTTTGCAATAAAATTTACCTCATTGAATGAAATGAAACCATTAATAACTAGCGAAAGCCAAGGATTTGTTCAAGTCTCTCCTTAAACTTGAAACAAGATATGGGGGTAATGGTATGTCGTTATTTTTCTTATTTCATCCTGTTCCACATTGTTCTTTCAAAACATACCTTCTTCCTTATAAATACTTTGTTTTCAAGCATTTAATCATAGAGACAGAAAGCTCACCAACACAAAGACACTCACTCTGACAATGCATTTGTCCAACATGCCATTGTAAATCTTCTCCACATCTGGCAACAGGATCCCCTATAAGAGAGTATCCTTCATTGCAAGTGTATACTATGTTTTTCCCAACAGGAAATGTGGTACCTTCATCCTAAATGAAAACAAAATATGGAGAGAAGAGTTTTCCATTTCATATTTATGTTTCTTTATATTTGGCTTATAAATCACAGCTTCTTATAACCATCAGGCAACCTACATTCAAATGTCTGATTTAGAAAATCATGTATAAAGATATTTCCCCCACACAGTCTTAATCAAAAACACAAAGGACAACAGTAATTGAAGTTAAACCATAAATGTCCATGTACTACAATGGCAATGACTGCTCCAGAAATACTAGACACTACATGAGCATCTTATGACACTTGCTTTAGTACAAAGTGTCCCTCCCATGTTTGGAAAAGGTGGTTTATTGTCAGATTTTGAAAACATTTTTGTCAATCCAACTCTTCATAGTAAACTATTATGGTTACTCACTGGCAATTCTACTCACGAAGTGTCAGTATGAATACCCAGACATTTTAAAATCGTATCAGCATTTTCATGAAAGTTTAAGTTTCTCACTGATAGTTTTTTAGAGCAAGTATAACATTCATCTTCCCTCACTCTATCTACAAGAATGGAAATAATTCTAAGGCTGCATCAGATTCAAAGATATTTCATTGGCCTATAACGCTAGGTGAGTTTTCATGGTGAAGCAAGGGAAAATGAGAAGAACTAGGCGTCGGGAAGGAAGGAGTAATCACGCTCATTGGTGGTATCTCAGGGAAGTTGACAAGAAACAAAGGTCCCAAGCTGATGTTGAGTTTTGAGGAAAATGAGAAAGGATAAATACTCTGCTTTGGTTGTAGCCCCAGAAGTCTTCCTCTATGGGGCAAATGGACTTCAAGAAAGAATCTAACTCGACAGGGTCTAAACTTGGTCCTGTATCTATTAGAGAAATTTAGAAAATCAGACCCACAGGCTTTACCCTGAACGTACCAAATCAGAAAAAAAAAAATAGAGGGCAATGGATATGTAGCAATGTCTATCTTGAGTTCCCTGGTTGACTCTCATGCAGCCAGTCAAATAAGTATGGGGAAACCCTGGCTCCTAAAAAGGGTCCATGTAACACTGGAGTTTGGGATAACAGCTTCATTGTTCACTAAAATCTAAGAATTATGTTGGCATTGTTCTCTGAGCATGTTTCACTGAGTAATGCCATGAGCTATAGTAACTGTCAGGAGCACAGAGGTATTAGGATGCTAGATTCATTCTCTCTCTCTCTCTCTCTCTCTCTCTCTCTCTCCACACAAACACACACAGAGAGAGATACACACGCCCCTTTGATCTTCCAACAATACCAAAATCAGGGGAAGTTAAGTTCTCAGTAAGATATACTCAAGGACATGAAATTTGATTGGCAAATTTTCATGGAGAAAGCAAGGCTGGCAGATTGAGAATCCTGATGTCAATATCTACTGTGTGAGCCATGGAGCGATTTCTGTGACATTTGGGGCCAAGCCTCATCATAACAAGCACTTGGAACAGCACTAATTAAAAAAGCTCCAGAGCAAGGAAATTCCCCCCAGAATGATAAGTGGGGGATGATTCATGTTCCTTCCTAAACAACAAAATTGCTCTAACAGCCCACATCTCATAAGACACTGACTAAATATCTTGTTGACTCCTGAAAAAAATCCTAATACCTCATCCCCGCTCCCACATTTGTAAATAAAAAAGACTTCTTTGAGTGTCAATAAAGGAAACCTAATAGATGTATATGTTAATATGCAGAGTGGCAGCTATTTAGCAGTCCTATAGAATAATTACATTTCTAAATTATTGGATAGCCATACTGATCTCCAATACCTCAAAAGAAATAGTGCCTCTTCAAAAATTCTAATCACCTTGGGTTGAAGAATAAAAGTCATATACTGAAACCCTCACCACTAAAATAAAAATGTACATAGAAAACATTTTATAGCACATTTCACCACAGTAAATGGAAATGTATTATGGCCTCAGTAGAGAGATAGAACTTGCAATACTACAAAGAAAAAAATATCTTTCATAACCAACTTGAACAAATCCATCTTTCAAGGGAGGTGGTGATGGACAGAATTCTGTTGGCACCAAGGATAAAGGAAAGCAATGGGGTTCAAGTATCCTGAAAGAAAAAAAGAAAGAAATGAGTTATGATTAATTTGATTAATTTCTACAGTTTAGTAAGCAGTTTGTACCACACTGAATTGTTTCTATGCATCTAAAACAACTACACTCAAGTGTACTGATGTGTTTTATATCATTGTTTTAAACTTTTTAATTTGTTTTTATTTTTATTGAATGGTAGAGATATAGAGAGAAAGGAATACATGGAGAGAGCATTCATCCACCAGTTAGCTCCTCAAATGCCCACAACAACTGCGGTTAGGAAGGGCCAGAAGCCTGGAACTCCACTCTGGTCTCCCATGCAGGTGGCAGAGACTTAGGCACCTGAGTCATCGTCTGCCCCCTCTCAAGGTGTTCATTAGCAAGAAGCTGAAACTGGAATCAGAGCTGGGATGTGAGCCCAGGCACTGCCATGTGGCATGCGGGCATTCCAAGCAACATCTTCACCATTGAGCCAAACAACCACATCATTTTTAGAGCCAAATCTGGTCATATCCTGCAGTAGAGAACTCAGATATAAACTTAAACCATGGAAAGACAGTGATTTAAATAGCCTCTACATAAGAAACATGAAAAACTAAAAGAAAAGAAGAAAAGGCCTTTGAACAATACACCTACTCTACCTGATTTCTAAGGGTCACCTATTTAATAATCTGTTTAGTCTCTTGCCTTTTGTTCTGAAACACATTTAACATACACTTTTGTGTTGAAAATAAGATAACTAAAGTCAGTGATCCCAAGAAAGCCACAGCACAGCATTAGCAGCATTAGTTTTTACTGAGCATTCACTACTTGCCAACTACCATAACAGTGGCTTATATAACATTTGCTATCTCAACTCAAACTCACAGCAGTTTTATAAGACACAAAGAGTGCAGGCTCCGGAAGTTTGAATCATTTGTGTAAGTTTATGAACTAATAAATACCAAGGTTGGATTCATTAGACTACAACAAGTGTGCTTTTTCTACCTCTCATAAAACAAAAAGGCAAGTAAGGAATTGCAGTATCCACATTTTTTCTGATATATTATATAAATATGTATATATATTCTAATACATATGTATATATACACATATATAAATCCTGATACATATACACATACACATATTTATTTTTATATGTTATTTATATACATATAAAAGCCTTGATGAAAGCAAGTTTTGAAAAAGTTTGATGTAAGAGTGCTAAACATTAAAAGAAGATGGGGGAACAGAAGCCCCAATACCATTTCACTAATGGCAGTCCTTACAGTTCTTTACACTTGACCATCACAACTACCTCTTGGAGGAGCTTGTAATAAGATGATGATACTTTGTGCCATCCATCACTAAACACCACCTTTTAATAGCACCTCTGTGGTCAACATACCACCAGTGTTATCTCCTCCCTCAGACACAGAATACAAGAGAAAGTGCCAGAAATAGCCTGGGAATACAAGCTTCTGTATCAACAGAATTACTAGGCTCTCAAAGCAGTCTGAGCCTACCCAGAAACACGACACATTGATCATAATCTGACCACACTGAGCAGGAGGATACTTCTCCTCCTCGGAGCACCATGAATAGTGAAAATTTTCCAATTATCCCTTGGGACATGCCCCTCGCTGTGTGCATGTCCAATGGCAGGGGAAATGCATGCACCAGGCAGATCTCTCCTCCAGTACCCTCCTCCTCCCATAGACTCATACAATGAAAGCAGCATTCGCTTCCACCAGTATGTTTCCCAGGTTTCTGAGTCAAGAAATACTAGTTGTTGTATTGCAAAGCACCAAAGACTACTTATGTTGCTGCCAGACACCAAACACCTCATCCCTTTTTTCAATCTATGTAACCTCCAAACAATCTTGCTAGAACTTTTTGACAAGTCCCCGATAACGAAGAGATTACTAACAGTGTGAAACGGTGGAGTGTCACACAAGGAATCCTGACCTTGGGATATTTTGAATCAACTAAGCAATTTTGAAACACATTTTACAAGGAAAAATGGTGCCAGATTACTGAGATAATCAGCCAAAATTATTGCCTATCTCAAACATGTGCCTTTATGTTTAATCCAAAAAAATTAATATGGGACAGGGGATTATTTGAAATGCAGTCCAAAATTATTGAATGTTTAGTATGTGCTAGGTACTCTAATAATTATATTTAATCCTACTGGATTCTAACAACATTCTATTATTAAAGATTTACCTACTAGTGTAATTCCAAGTTTAGAGATATAACAAGTCACTCGCCCAAGATCACACAGCAAGTTGGTGGCAGGTCTGCTTGATGCCTAAGCTTCTGCTTATCTCAACCGACTGCCCTCAGCTGCCCTGCCTTTGGTAACACTGGTTCCAGAAAAACCTGAAGCTCACGAGCTCAAGTTAGTCATCGTGTGCCTTTCTCTCCTACAACTGACCCCAGTACCAAAGCACAAAACAACCACTGATACAAAGTGCCACTTAACTTAAAAAGCAAACAAACAAAAAAACAGAGAGCTCCTGTCTGCTGGTTCAACTCCTAAATGCTAGCTAGCAACAAGCAAGACTGGGTCAGGGCCAAAGCTGAGAGCTGACAGCTCAGTCCATGTCTCCCACATGAGTTTCAGGAACACAATCATTTGAAGCCTCATCTCTACCTCCCGCAGTCAGCCTTAGCAGGAAGAGGAAGTCAAGAGCCAGAAGCAGTTTTCAAGCTAAGGTATTCCAATTAAGAGCAAGGGCATCATAAGTGGCATCCTCAGCACTAGGCTAAATGCCCACCCCTCTTCTAAATCTTTAGGTGGAAGGAATTATGTATTGTTGGGAACACTGCAGAGGGCACTTGTTCTATGTAACTGTCAAGAGATCTGGTTACCGCAAATGCTGTAGCTCCTCATCTTCACACTGTCTGCTTTCTGTGGTTTCTCCAACACAGGCTTTCCCACCTGCACTGGGAGCAGGGTTATTGCACACCCGAGTCCTAGTTTTCTTCCCTTGGACACAGGAGCCCCACGGGGACCAGCAGCTCCAGCCTCCATCAATCCCTCCTGTAAGACAAAACAGATCACTTACTAAGTTGTTGGAGGGAAAGACCGCAGAGATGAGCGCTGGTCTTCTGCTGATGTGCTTGTGGAGGAAAGGGACAGCTCTGGCCATTGGTCTCCTCCCCTCTGTTCACTGAGGTTTTCCACAACGGCCAGAAGGGTTCCACACAATGTATTAAGACTCAATTGCTTACAAAAATATGCTAAATTTATCGATTATAGCACAATCATTTAAAAGCACTGTCACATACATTGTATCATTTCTTTATATCTCAGAACACAAATCAATGTGAGAATGAGATCTGTCACTATTTTCATTTAATAGAAATGGAATGTAAGGAAAATGTATTTAATGCTATCCCCAATGTTGTAATAGCAGCCAAGAGGCACATCAAGATTGTAAACTAGTCTTCTGGCTGAATCCAGACTCTTTTTTCTCACTTGACAGTCTCTTGATAAATCAAATAAATTACTGTCATTAAAGCAGTGATTGCTATGAGATATCACACAACCTACTGGGTACTCTAACCCCAGGGCTGGCACCACACAACATGAGAAAGTGCATTAAACAAGAAACAGATTTTTCAATCACTCATTTTAGCTCACTCCAACATCCTCCATTCTATAGTCACATTGACAATCCACCCTGGTCACCCATCAAATTTTCTGCATTGAAAAAGAGAGAGAATTTGTCCTATATTCCAGGAGCTGTTTCTCTAGCTGGAGAGTGAGCTCCTAAACCGTTCCCCAGAAGTGACGGTGTTTCACTTGTTCTTTCTCAGCTCCTCCTACTCTGTATGTACCACATCTCTCTATTTCCCAGCTCCACATCTGATCTTTAAGCACCACAAATCACACCTAAACTAAGTTGCATAAAAGTTTCCCTTGAACTTTTCGTGATCATACTGCTGCAATTAGGAAGCTATTTAGTAAAGTTGTCCCCTGGAATATGTTAATAGGAGGCAAAATTAAATTAATACATTGGGATGGTTGCCCCAAACCTTACCAGCAGAGAATACTTTCATTTCATAGATACATGGAAATGTAAACCACACAGGAATGAATCATGGTGGTGTAATTTACCAGGATAGGCCACTAGGGTAAGCAGCCCGGGCCAGGATGCCTCCTTCATGGTTGTCTATAAGCAACTATAGTCAAGCATGTATTTCTTCAGCAAACCTTCATTTAATGAAGCCTGTGAACCAAAACTTATTTAAAGCTCTGGGGAAAAGGAAAAGAATCAAACATCCCTGATCTTAAGGAATGAGCTTTCTACAGAGCAGAAATATACACATGAATGTAAAAACAAATATATATAAATTAGTCATATTTCAACTACTCCAGAAGTCAATTTCCCACAGCCTGGTACTAAGCGCTTGAAGCATCATGCACCCCGTTGAACACTTAGCAGATGTGCAACAAATATCTGTAAATGATTCCAGATGGCACACAATACAAGACAGAAATAGGGATGCTTCGAAGAGCTTGTCACTAGAAAGGTTAGCCAGTGCAACCTGAGCTCCACAGACCTTATTAACAAAACCTTGAGACAACTATGGAAGGATGGAAAATAGAGAATAGGGAGTGAAGGGCATAGTGGTACTGTTAATGCAGGTGTTTAAGTAGAAAAACATTAAAGTAGCTTAACTATGCTGGCTCTAACAAAAAGATGGGGAAAGCAAGGAGATTCTAAATTCTGTACTCGCCAACACACCCACTCCAGAGGGCAAAGGAGAGTAATTAATTCCCTTCACAATGTGAGCAACCAACTACAGAAAAACCAGCTGACTCACCTGCCTGATCCCCTATGAGGACTCCATGCTCACACGCCACACCATAGGTTTCCGGTTTGCAATGGCAGTGACACTGAGTCCCCACAACAGTGGCCATGCCACCGTTTTGACAAGGCCGGCAATGACAGGGGTCAAATTCATCCAGATACTCCTCCAGAGCTCGTTTCAGGTAGAGTCTTTTCACAGAAGCACAGGGCACTTCCTTTACCAGCTCATATAAAGGAGTCAGCTGTGTAGACAAAGACATCAGAATTAGTAACGAGAGTGTTACTCTTTTCACATTTAGACACAATCTTCATTTCAGCAAAATTAAAAGTTTCTCTTATAATGACTATAGTAGTACCCCCTTACCACACTGGGGGCACTGTTAAGATCTCCAGTAGATTCCTGAAACCATGGATGGCCCCAAATCCTGGATATACTGCTTTCCCTACAAATAAGTACCTATTATAAAGTTTTTAATTTATAAATTAGATCCATTGTGAGCATAACAACAATAATTAATAATAAAATAGTACTATATAAAATAGATAAGCTTATAGCTGTTTTTCGAAAACTTCTCTTTTGATATCGTTTACATCAGTTCTCCATGAATAACAAAAATTCTGGAAAACAAAATCAAAGACAACTGTGAAGTATTATACAATTCTTTATTGCTTGAATTAAAAAGAAAGAAATCTATTGTTTTGCCACAAATTCAAGACAAACCTAACAACAATAAAGATCAGATAAGGAAGGAATATTTTTTGGGCCGTCCTCGACTGCTTTCCCGGGCCACAGGCAGGGAGCTGGAAGGGAAGCAGGGCTGCCAGGATTAGAACCGGCGCCCATATGGGATCCCGGGTGTGCAAGGCGAGGACCTTAACCACTGCGCCACCACGCCGGGCCCCGAAGGAATATTTTTTATATATTGTATGCAAGCATAAAATTGAGAAAAAGGAAAACAACGCACTCATTTTCTAATTAATATTAGATTATTTTTAAGACAATCCATTACCACCTCATTAGAGGATAGACAAAAAGGAAATGCACTTAAAATACAGTAAGAAACAAATGAAGTTAAATTTTCAAATTCTGGGGCCCAGCATGGTGGCCTAATGGCTAAAGTCCTCGCCTTGAATGCGCCAGGATCCCATATGGGCTCTGGTTCTAATCCTGGCAGCCCCGCTTCCCATCCAGGTCCCTGCTTGTGGTCTGGGAAAGCAGTCAAGAGCAGATCAACCCAGCTATGACCATGGTGGCCACTAGGGGAGTGAATCATTGAACAGAAGATCTTCCTCTCTGTCTCTCCTCCTCTCTGAGCTAATCAGAAGCCAGCAGTCTCTCTCAACCGTTTGGGTGCAGGAGCCCAAAGACTTGAGCTACTTTCCAAGACCATAAGTAGGAGAGGTGGATTGGAAGTGGAGCAGTTAGGACACAAACCAGTACCTGCACCACAGGTGGGGGCCTAGTCTATCTAAGCCACAACAATGGTCCCAATGCTTTTCTTAATAAATTACTATACATAAAAGTACGTTACTGCTTTGAGTGGTACCTATCATTTTCCTTATGAGTGTCAGAGCTGATGCTTTAGAGAACTGCATCCCTCACCCCATTTTACCTGTAAGCTCTACGATCTTTGCTATTTTACACAGCAATATATATATTGATATATATATTGTGTTGTAAAAGAATTGACTGTATCAATAAAATGTGCTAAAATTCTGCCATCCAGTTTTGCTGTCGTCATTTATATGGCTTCAAGGTCCCAAGAGCCATGGTCCCAAGAAGAAAGGTGACCTGGCAGATGACAAGCAAACAAGCCCGAATACATTCCTCTTGTAAGCCTCTAATCCTCTAAGTTAGGGACCAATGAAAACATAATCAAGTTTAGGTCAAAAGTTTTACAAAATGCAAATTTTTCCATTAATTTCTCTTGGGATTTACAGGACATTTAACCTTTAAAATTGAACATTATATATGCACACAAAACATACCACACAAAACATAACTGGAATACAGAAAATGCTAATTACAATCATCTCTGTTTAACCATCTTAATTTAATCTCATTTTCTGAATGCAAATAAACACGACTGCTTCCTACTGCTTTAAGCAGATCAGCACATACCTTTTGCTTGATGACGCTGGGTGCATGAGTCACGGATTGTGCCCAGCTAGAATATCGTCTTCTGTTTCCAGCGGGATCGTTCATATCTAACCTGTTAAGGTCACCTGACAAGCCTGTATCTCCTCCTCTCACAACCAGCGGGAGACCTCGCAAGGTGTTATTCTGAGTTCCTATGCAGGAGAAATCAAGTGAAATGATTCATGATGCACAACAGAAAGTAAACAAAGGCCTAGAAGTAAAGAGTCGAAAAAAAATTGAACAGTAATCCATTGAATTCTGGATTCAGCAAATTGTGGAGACACTAAACGTGTGTGTGGTGGCCAGAGTGCTGTGCAACTATTCTGTATGATACTACAGTGGAGGGACACATGTGTGTATGTACTTGTCACAATCCATAAAACATACAACACCAAGAACTAAGCCCAATATAAACAATGAACTTTGTGCCGCTGACATGGTGACCTAGCGCACTAGCATCCCATATGGATACTAGTTCTGGTCTCGGCTGCTCCAGTTCTAATCCAACTCCCTGTTAACACCCTGGAAAAGCATTAGAGGGTGGCCAAAGGCCTTGGGCCTGTGCTCTCATGTAGGAAACCTGGAAGAAATACTTGACTTATAACTTCAGACTGGCCCTGCTCCAACCCTTGGAGCCAATTGGAGAATGAATCAACAAATGGGTTATCTCTCTGTCTCTCCCTCACTTTCTGTAACTCTGATTTTGAAATAAGATAGCAAATCTTTCAAAAGAACACACTTTGTGTGGTCATGATGTGTCACTGTAGATTCATGAACTATAACAAAAGTTCTTCTCTGGTGGGAAATGGCACTGAGGGTGGTCTAAATTTTTCATGGAAAAATAAATTAAAAGATACTTGTTTGGGTGTCAAAAAGAATTGAAATCTGGGGCTGACATGGTATACAGCTGCCTAATTCTCTGACCAGTGGTGCCAGTAGCCCATATGGACACCAGTTCATGTCCTGGCTCTCTGCTGCCTTGGAAAGCAGCAGAGGATGGCCCAAGACCCTGCATCCATATGGAAGATCCAAGAAAGCTCCTGGGCCCCAGCTTTCGCTCAGCTCAGCTCTAGCCACTGCAGCCATTTGAAGAGTGAACCAGAAGATGGAAGATCTCTCTCTACCTCTCCTTCTCTCTACATAGAATCTGCCTTTCAAATGAAAACAAATAATTAAAAAAAGAAAAGAATGGAAATCCATGCATGGTTTTTGATAATACATGTCTCCCATAAAATTTCTCATATGTAGGAAATTTATATATTGCATTGAATTTTGCTGTGAACCTAGAACTGCTCTCCAAAATCATTTTTTAATTAATCATGTCACAGGAGAGAATATTAAACATTATTGCCTATGTCCTTAATGTTCTTAGTTTGATAGGAGTAGCAGGCAGATAAACATCTTTCTTGGAAAATGCATCCATGCCCCACATCAGGGACCCTGGGATGGGCGGGAGGGTGGGTGTGGCTTCTCCCGTTGCCCCTTCCCTTCCTCCAGTTACAGGAAGGAAAAAAGAGAATGTGGGAACAATGGTCTTACCCACTGTCCTGTAGCCCTTGACCCTTTGAGCCCTAATCTACTATGGAAAGATCATAAACAAACAAATAAATAGATAAATAAAAATGCATCCATATATTTAGGGAGGAAATATTATGATATCTGCAACTTATTTGCAAATGGATCAGAAAATACATTTTAGATATATACTTATATTTGCTGAAAATCAGTTTTATGAGTGTGTAAATATAACACAGTGTCAAAACAATAATTGGGTTTTCTTTAAGATTTATTTTATTTTTTTATTGGAAAGGCAGCTATATGGAAAGAAGACACAGAGAGAAAGATCTTCCACCCACTGGTTCACTCCCCAAGTGGCCTCAACTGCCGGAGCTGAGCCTATCGGAAGCCAAGAGCCAGAAGCTTCTGCTGGGTCTCCCACGTGGGTGCAAGTTCCCAAGGCTTTGGGCCATCTTCTGTTGCCTTTACAAGCCATAATCAAGGAGCTGGATGGAAAGTAAAACAGCTGAGATATGAACCAGTGCCCATGTGGGATCCCAACAGATGCAAAGTGAGGACTTTTTCCACTAGGCTATTGCATCAGGCCCCCTAAAATGATAATTGTATTTAGGAGGTGGGTATATGGTTATATTAATACATAATATGGTATTAACTTTTTTCAGCTATATTATTACCATAATATAATAAAATACTTTCAATATCTCTGTATGCTTGGAAATTTCAAAAAACACGTTTGAAGGAAAATTATTGCATGATCTAACAATAAACAAAAAAGCTGTTGCTAGGAATACATTACCTAATACATGAAAAGTGTTCTGAAGGGCTTTGCTAATTAACGTTTCCCTGTCTGACAGGGCTGGATCCCAATACCTGACAGTGCTGGAACAGGAGATGGGTCACGTTAGACTGGGCCATGACACCACCCAGATTGAGAGTCATCCATTGGGTTTGGTGATTTCTCTTTCCTCCTTTGGTTTTCATATCTGTTTTTTTATCCTGATTCTTCATCATTCTCTCTTCTTTCTCAATGGCTTTATCTATGTGTTCTTTCATTTAACCATGCATTATTATTATGATGGCGCTGGTAGCCATCAGGATGAAAGCCTCACCCCTTAACATGGAACACTCACAGCTTACCTTTCTCTAGCTCCTTCTTCAATCTCTCAATGACTAACACACCAGCTTCACCATTCTAACCTCCAGCAGCAGCAGCAGCAAGCACCAAACCTTAACTATCCTACTTAAGTATTCTTACCATAATGTAGAACTAAACTTCCACTTAACATTGACACTATTATAGGGAAGTAAAATGGTATATGCCGAGAATCCATTTCCAATACAGAGCAGAAACACGGTGAAGTCCCACCCTGCATGCCTCACTGCTATGACCTATGAAAGACAGAGCAGGGGGTGAAAACAGCAGAGGGCCTGGCATGACAGCTCAGTGCTAAATCCTCACCTTACATACCCAGGTGCCATATGGATGCTGGTTTGTGTCCTGGCTGCTCCACTTCCCATCCAGATCCCAGTTTGTGGCCTAATGGAGCATGGCCCAAAGTGATTTGACCCTGTACCCATGTGGAACACCTGAAAGAAGCTTCTGGCCCCTGGCTTTGGACCATTTCATCTCTGGCTGTTGCAATCACTTGCTGGAGTGAACCAGTTAATGAAGATCTCTCTGTATCTCCTTCTCTCTGTAAATCCGTCTTTCCAATAAAAATAAATAAACCTTTTTCTTATTTAAAAAAAAATGAAAACTGTAAGGCACAACCACTGCTAAAACTTCAAAAGTGTTTGGAGATCAAGAATTAATTATTATTGGAGACAAAAAGGAGAAGAGGTGGAGACAGAGAAAGAGGAAGAGACAGATTAAGTTGATAAAGCACACTGCTTCTCATTTACCTGAAGCTGATTTTAAAGCTTTTTCCAGGTCTTTGCATGAGTGATCTGATGATGATATAAACAAAAACTGGAACTTCGAGGAACGACATTGGTTCTGCTCTAATGATTCAAAGCCTGGGAGGGAAAAGCACAAAGAGAGGATGCTTGGTTTCTACTTTCAATGAGTTTCTGTAAACACAGATGAGGAACAGGGAGACTAAGAGGTTGCTTCCTCACTGTGACTATCTACTCAAAAGCAGCATAACAAGTGCATACGCAAGTAACCGAATGGCCAAATACCAGGGGGAAAAAGAGCATTTTCTTTTGTTATTTTACTTCTGTTCACTCAGGCTAGGAGCAGAGGCCAGATAGGGAAGAATTAGGAGCGATTTCTACAGGAAAAAAAAAAAATGGAGTGGAAATGCAACAACTTGAAAACTGGTATTTTGCCCCAATTCCACCAAGTTTTTTAGGTGTACTGTACAGCAAATGGACAGAAGTGGGAGCACAACAGCCTCCAGCCTGCCTGGCTGAGATTTCACAAATTCTACGGTAAAAAAAACTCCAAAATCTCTAGCCCTGATGCAATCTTTTATCTTTAGAATCTGGCTCAATCACTTATCTTTAGAATCTGTAATTCCTAACATTTTTTCCATGACTCCTAACATTAGAAAGTGACAATTTCTTCTCTTTATCAATTGGAATTTTTGGAATTCCAGTGTAGGTTAGAAAATAATAAATCTGAGGAATATATTTTCTCCTCATATAATTTTACCAATTATTAGAATAGTCTCAGACTGCTTTTACATTGGGTTTCCTCTTGACAATTCAAACCGCAAAAAACAAAAACAATCAAACAAACAAACAAAAAAAAAACTTCTTTTTAAAATGCTTTCCTTTTCTTTTCCTGAAAGTTTCTCACTTGATGTTTTCTTTCTAAAGATCAGTTTATTTGAAAGGGCAAAGATGCAGCGAGAAAGGGAGGAACAGAGAAAGAGAGAAGGAGATTTTCCATCCACTGATTCACCTGCTAAAATGGCCACAGTGGCCAGGACTGAGCCAACCCCAAACCAGGATTCCAGAATTCTAAGATTTGAATCATACTTTGCTGTCTTCCATAGTGCGTGACCAATGAACTGGATCAGATGTGGAGCAATGGGGAACAGAACTGGAGCCTATATGGAATGATGGCATTGTAGACAGCAGCTTAATGCACTGTGCCACAATACCAGCCCCCATTTTATGTTTTTGACAATGAATCTGCAATCTTTTTAAAAGTCGCTGCGGGGCCCAGCAGAATAGCCTAGTGACTAAAGCCCTTGCCTTGCATGTGCCAGGATCCCATTTGGGCTCCAGTTCTATTCCCAGCGGCCCCGCTTCCCATCCGGCTCTCTGCTTGTGGCCTGGGAAAGCAGTCAAGGACGGCTCAAAGCCTTGGGACCCTGCACCCACATGGGAGGTCCAGAGAAAGCTCCTGGCTCCTGGCTTTGGATTGGCTCAGCTCTGGCCATTACAACCACTTGGGGGGTGAATCAACGGATGGAAGAGCTTTCTCTCTGTATATCCTCCTCTCTGTATATCTGACTCTCCAATAATTAAAAGTCGCTGCTTTTTAAGACATGTCTATAAATGTGGAAGAAACCTGGAGTAGAGAGCTACTTGGCTCATGGCCTGGGCTTGCACAGAGGAGAGGAACTCACTGGCAGAAAGTTCAGTTAACACACCAAAAGATGGGTAAATCAATCTTCTTCCACACATTCAGAAGTCAGGAGTCCCTCCACCATGGGTTCCAGAATTAAAAGGCCATATTACCATGTTGGCCTGCTCCAAACCCTCCAGTTAATTCCCTCCCCAGCAGTTCCACATGAGTTCTTCCTGTGTAATCTACAAAGTGGGTCCACAGCCCACAAAGGGGAAGGCAGGCCTGGGACACTGCTATTGTTTCCTTACTCACAAGTAATAACAATAAATCACAGGCAGACCGGATGGTGAGCAGGGATCCTATAACAAATATTCCCTAGGGAAGAATTAATAGCATCCCTTATATCCCGAAAGTTTTGACTGTATCTAAATTTAAACTTTACGTAGAATATAAGCTTCCTAATGTCAAATTATTGCTAAAAAAATTTTTTATGAACTTGGAAAGCTTTGTAAAAATTCTCTTTGTTTCATTTAATTGTTATAAAAATGGAGAGGTGAGGGGAAGAGAGAAATGAAACACTTTATTCCAAGCCACCTGCTGAGTGGATTGTTCTAAGAAACAGTGCCTCTGCCTTTGCTGTAAAAAATCCGTGCTCATACATTCATTTCCATCCTGCAAAACTAGACAAGGTGTGGGGATTGGCATTATGGAATAGTGAGTAAAGTCATCACCTGACCACCTGCAGTGCTGGCATTCCAAATAGGTGCTGGTTTGTATGCTAGTAGTTCTACTTCCTATCTAGCTTCTGCTAATGCCCTGAGAAAGCAACAAAGATGGGCCAGGGGCTGGTACAATAGCTCAACAGGCTAATCCTCCTGCAAATGTTGGCATCCCATCTGGGTGCCAGTTCTAATCCCAGCGGCCCTGTTTCCCACCCAATTCCCTGCTTATGGCCTGGGAAAGCAGAAGATGACCCAAAGGCTTGGCATCCTGCACCTGCATGGGAAACCTGGAAGAGGATCCTGGCTCTTAGCTTCAGATTGGATAGGCTCCAGTCATTGCAGCAATTTGGGGAGTAAGTCTCTATTTGTCAAAATTTAAAGCTTAAAGGTTTAGCCACATGTTATTTCCCCATTAAAATCCCTAAAATGCTTTTATATAACAATTTTTATACTGTACCATTTTGTTTGAGTTTTTCTGAATCCAAGTAAAATAGAACTCTGTATTCTCCTCCTAAGGACCCCGATTGCAGATAATGTGTCCCATATGAGTTGATTAATCTTCGATAAGCACTGTATTCATACAGAGAGGGAAGCTGGGAGAGTTCCTTCCAGAATGGCTCAGCAAGTTGCAAAAAATCTGGATTGTTGTTACGGAACTGAGCCACCTCAACAGTGTTCTGAACAACCATCAGCTGATAACTCTACAGGAAAAGGAAAAAGCAAAATAAATTTTAGGTGGAATAAAAAAAAAGGCAATGAAAGAATCCCCTACCAAGGCTCCCATCAACTGCCCCTTCAAATCTATCCAGATTTTGTCAGTTTTTCTTTTGAATTAATGATAAGACTTCTTTCAGGCCCACTCTGTACAACAAAATAAGAAAATTTTGAAGAATTTGAAAAAATTGTTGAATCCCAAACAGGAATAATCTCTTAATGGATATATCATGGTGATGTATTTTACATGTGACCTCTGGAGTCCTAAGACCAAGAATGCTTTCCTCCATGGGCAAACAAAATCAACTTCAACCATTGAATAGCTCCATTAATAAACATGCAAAATTCCGTATACCTTGGGACCACACCTTGACAATAACTCACAGGTAGCATGACCATGGAATTTGTCTTCCATAATGAGTTTTTTATATCCTAGGCTGCTTTAAAATGAGGTATTTTATACATTTCACAAGCATCCTTTCATGATCTCCAAAACAGATCAATCTTACACCAAATCCCCACATATGAACAATATAATATAGAGAAACATTTTTAGAGCTCATATTCTCCTGGTCAGCTTCTTAGTCATAAAACAAACAATATCAATATCATTGAACCTTCCTTACATGATCTGTTAATCAAGTTAATGACTCGGCAAAGGAGGTAAAATATGCAGATTATCAGTAATGATCTGAGTGAAAAATTCTTCAGCAATACGTGTATATAAATCTGCACAATCCATCTCAACTGTGTGAGCTTCCCAACATGAAAGTTTTAGTATTTCAAAGCAAACTATTCGAAAATAAGTTCTTCTAACTGTCCCAGATAAAAATTTGCTTTCTCAAAATAAAGTGTTTTTAAGATCTTTTGGCTTCATGCTGAGAAAAATAAACCTGCCAGTTTTAACATTTCAGAAGCACATTGCAAGCATTCAGTTTATTTTTAAAGAATTTATGCAAATTTAGAATAGCAGCATTAGTAATCATAAATGAAGAACTCAGAATAGTTTAAAATAGTGTTCAGGGTAATAAGTTTTTTTTTTAATCTATTTTTATTTGAAAGGCGTGTTTACATAGAGAGAAGGAAAGACAGGGCTCTTCCATCTTCTGGTTCATTCAGAGCTGGGCTGTTCCCATGCCAGAAGCTAGTATAAATACAGGGGCCAAATACTGGGCCCACCTTCAGCTGCTTTCCCAGCCATAAACAGAAAGCTGGATGAGAAGTGGGACTCAACTTGCAAGCCATCTCATGATGCCAGCACCACAGACAGAGACTTAACACACAGTGCCATAGCACCGACCCCAAGATAATTTTTATAACATTTTCAAATAAGAACAAATACTTCAATGAGAAATGAAAATCAGAAATAAGCATATTATCAAAGAGAATTAACAATATCCTAGTGCACCTTTTAAAGACATGCATTGTAGTGTCTCTCAAAGAAGATTTTATTACCCTGATTTCAATAGAAAAGTTAAAGCCTCATTAAAATAAATCTGCTATTGTTAGTAATATCTAAAACCACTAAAATGTAGAAAAGATAGCTGATATTTCATACTAACCTTTTTCTTGTGGATTTCATTATTATGTATGGCATGACTGTTTGAAGATGATGAAGATGAAAAAACCAAGAACCCTTTTCTATTAGATGACGTAGAGTCTGCTGATGTATGCTTTACATAAGACCAGCTACTGTTGTAAAACTCATAGTGTAAGTCATTATTCATTTTCACCTATAAAAGAAAAGATTTTGGAATAATCGAATTAAGGTTTTGAATATATCAAAAGCACTCTGGCATGGACCGTTTAACATGCATACTTTATATTATCTTCCCAAAAAAACAAAAACTTTTATTGACAAAATACTGTGGCACTCATGAAGAGCAGACCTGCAGGAGTGGAAGAGTTTAGCCTATCATGATAGTTTTAAGTCATCTATTTTTATGTGAAAGACAGATTTATAGAGAGAGAAGGAGAAACAGCGATATCTTCCATCAGCTGGTTCACTCCTGAAAGGGCTAGAGCTGAGCTTTTGAACTAAAGCCAGGATCCTGGAGCTTCTTTCAGGTCTCCCACGTGAGCCTTAACATGGGTCACATGGCATTGCTTTCCCAGGCACAGTAACAGGGTGCTGGATTGGAAGTGGCCCATGAGGGATGCTGATATTGCAGGCAGAGGTTACTACGCCATTATACCAGAATGCCAGCCCCGATTATGCTTTGTTAGGCATGTCATATGGCATCAGCTGTATCAATCTCAAGTGGCTCACAAACTGCCTTCTATACACAAATCTTCCGAATTCCTTTAAATTCAGTATTTAGCAAGAATGTGAATAAAGTAACAGATAATCTACCAGAGAGCTATTTCAAGCATTTCACTCTGGATTTCCCATCCAGCTGTTGCAGCCACTTGGGGAGTGAACCGGCAGATAGAAAATCTTTTTCTCTGTCTCTCCTTCTCTGTATATCTGCCTTTCCAATAAAAAATAAAATATTTTTAAAAAAATTAACATATACCCTGTCCACAGGGGACACACACCACTCAAATCCATCAGATAATCACCCTATGTAACAATACTCTGTCTTAAAAGAGTGGCTGGAGTTGTTTAAAGATTAACCTGAGTCTTCTTGTAAAAATTTTGTGCTATTTTAAAATTCTAGACAACTAGAAACCTCAAATCCATTGAATCAATAAATAAAGTACAACATGCCAAGCTGGCATTGCAGCATGGTAGACAGTCTCCACTCGAACCACAATACCCATATGGGCAATGGCTCTGGGTTGTATCTTGGCTGCTCCATTTGCTCAGCTGTCTACCAATGGCCTGGGAAAAGCATAGGAAGATGAATAAATTACTTGGGACATTGCCACCCACATGCCACAAATATGTCAAAAGAAGAGAGAGATTTCATCAGGATATCATTATGCTGTGAAATTGGTTTAAAAGTTAGATGTGGGCCAGGTGCAGCAGCCTAGTGGCTAAAGTTCTTGCCTTGCACATGCCCAAATCTCTTATGGGCACCAGTCTGTGTGCCAGTTGTTGTTCCACTTCCCATTCAGTTCCCTACTTGTGGCCTGAGAAAGCAGTGGAAGATGGACCAAGGCCTTGGAACCTTGCACCACATGACAGACACGGATGAAGCTCCTGGTTCCTGGTTTCAGACAGGCTCAACTCTGGCTTTTGGGGTCACTTGGGGAGTGAACTAGCAGACAGAGGATCCTCCTCTCTGTCTCTCCTTGTCTCTGTAAATCTGACTTTCCAATAAACAAATAAATTAATAATCATAAATCTTTTTAAGTTAAATGCAAATTTTCAACTCAAGCTGAAGAACAGATCATCTACAGTCATCCCTCACTATCCTAGGGGGATTGGTTCTAGCAGACTCCTGGAGTATCAAAACCTATGGATGTTCTAGTTCCTCCTATAAATTGGCATAGCATTTGCATATAACCTGCACACCTTCAATCATTCACCAAGTCTTCTCAGGTCATCATGACCTCCGTTAAGGATGATCACCGTCGTTTCCTAGCCTGATTCCTTTGCTCAGGTCCGACATAAGAGCAGCATTGGTGATTTCCTTCTTAACCATCCTAGCAGCTCTTTTCTAATCAAATTAAAATTTTTTTCTACCTTCTGATCACTTCGACTCTTTATTATAACTCCTCATAATTCACTCTGTATTCCTGCTAGCTTTTGTACCTTGCAGCTGACATCAACATAGACACTCAAATTCGGGTCCAAGGTTGTCCTATATAAACCTCAGTGCTAAACAAAACAGATTATAAAAGAGGTGGACCAATGCTGCTTTAATATTTACTTACTAGCAGACACCTGCCAACTAGCAGACAGCTGAATACATAGTGGATCCTCCCTAGGTCAATTTCCTTGAAGTACTGAGGCCGTTCACCACCTCCCTACCCACACTGGGGTTAGCACTCAGAAGACTGACATGGCCTGTTGCTGCCAGCTCACCTCCCTCGGGCTAGATATTGAACACCCCCCTATTCCTTGCTCAAGAACAAGCTATAATTTCCCCCTCTTTCTGACAAACGCCTTCGCATTCAGTGACTGGGAAGACAATTCAGATGTCAATCCAATAACTAAGCCCTACTGAGGAAAAGGAATGTCAGGATCATGCTGTTAGGAAATGACTCCTGTTGCTCAGACGCTGCAGACGTGGGCCATGGCCACTTTCCAGCTGACTCAGAAGCATTCTTCCCTTTTATTTTCCCTGCTCTGCAACTTGAAATACACACGTAAGTCAATAATAATGAAAGAATTTGAGACACCCTATCCTAGAAACAAAGGGCAAAATATAATTCTCTACACTTGTGTACCTCACATTATGTCTTCTGGCCAAAGGTTAAATTGCAACACACTCAAGGGCAATTCAAAGAGCTCATGGAAAAATGAATCTGAGATAAGCTTCTTTTGGTGCAAAATATGCTTGAAATTCATGCATAGATTGTTGTTTTTATTTATTTTGCAATAAGGATATTCCATGGACTTTTTGAGGAGCACTCCTCTGTGTGAATATCAAATTTTTTGCATTGAAGTAGATCTATCCTCCAATTTCGATTTCCATAGCACTTTTGAAGCTCCCTCACAGTATTCACCACGTAGAATTTAGAACTTAAAAAGGCATTAAATGCAATACATGTGGTGAGTTAAATGTAAGTGAAAAGTAAAAGCTTCCGAGCGCTGATGCGCTAGAAGCACTCTGCACTGATTTAGTGACTTGGATTAAGTCAGCTGAACTTCTCCAAGTCTCAGTTTCTAGATGTATGCATGCCACAGTACACATTCAAAAACCAGTAGCTACTATTATTTTAAAGAACATTTAACTTTTAATTTCATATTTCAAAACTTTAAAATGTGAGGATGGCACTGTGGAGAAGCACAGTAAGCTCCTGTTTGGGATGCCAGAATTCTGTTTCTGAGTGCCTGTTTGAATTTCAGTTGCTCTGCTTTCACTCTCTGCTCTGTGTCCACGTGCCTGGAAAAGCAGGAGAAGCTAGCCCAAGAGTTTGGGCCCCTGCCACCTTTACGGAGGACCAGATGGAGTTCCCGGCTCCCGGCGTCAGCTTGCCCAACCTCGGCTGTTGGCGATCTTTTCAGGAGTGAGTCAGCAGGTGCATGGTCTCATCTACTATGTATGTATGTATGTATGTATGTATGTATCTATCTATCTACACTGTCTCTTCCTCTCTCTCATCATTTCAAATAAATAAGTAAATACTTTTAAATAAATTCATAAATGTTACTGATTTATTGAAAGTTGGGGAATTTGTGAGCTTGTTATTTATAATTGAAGCCGTTTTTTAGAAAAGACTGATTTTACATAAGTAAAAGACCCTTTTATCTGAAAATCCTAGTAGTCTTAAATTGAAAATTTGGGATTAACAGATAAGGAAAGCTGAACTGGGTATTGAGGGCATCCTAGGGGAATATGGGAGGAAAGAACTGAGAAAGGATCTTAGCAGAGGACACTAAGAAAGCAATTCAAACACGATATCAGAAACTTCATTTGCTTAAGGCTGTAGAACAATGCCAAGTTGCAGGATGCCAACTGACGTTGCTAAAGTGTGTTTTTCTTTATCGCAACAAAAGATATCTCCTCTTTTCTCCCTCAACATCTTCAGATCACTAAGCCAATAACCATTTTGCATGCATATATTTTGTGTTGAAATAGAGAAACTAGATGAGTTGTACATGAAAGGGGGTGGGGGGAAGCATTTGAGAGGCAGAAGCCTGGAGCCAGAGGCGGGCTGAGATCACAAGCAAAATGAGGAAAGTCAGGCCATACCGTACTGGCACAGGCAAGCATGTGGGACAGATGTTGTTTTCCACACTGCTGACAAGGGTCTCAACAGATACTAGCACTTGGGAACTCGACCTTACAAAGGTTAGCAAATATCCTACAAAGAGCAGGGTGACCTTAAAAAACTCTTGCTTGTGTGTGTGACACTGCTGTGCAAGAATGTGCAAGGCATTCTCATAAGAAAAAAATGGACAAAGTAATAAAAATGTCATCTGTATCAGCATGAACAAATCTCAGATCTACAGCTTTTGAGTCAAAAAGAAATAATGGAAGAATATTCCTTTCTATTTCTATAAATGGAAAAAAATCTGAAAAAAAAAATCTGAAACACAAATTTGAAACTGAAACACAAAACTGAAACACAAATTTTTCTTTAGGGACAGAGACACAGAGAGAATAAGCATGTTTCTATGTGAAACAAGAAACTGACTCTTCCAAAGTTTTAAATGACTGAGCCCGGAGTGTGTGTATCAGAAACATTTCCCCTCAGTTGCTGATGTCTATGCATGTGGAGACAGGATGTCCAGATACACATGGGAGACATGACAGCCAGCTCCTCTAGGCCAGCTGGGACGTCAACTGCCTCATTAGAGGATGGAAAGCAAACCAGGTTGGACAATCTCCTGGCCAAGCTTTGCAGCATGTTCCTGGGTCTGTGGATGCACCAAGGTGGACTTGGTCAACCAACAGTCCTTAAACAGATTTTCTCAGCCATGGAGCAATGAATCCAACAATTTCTCAGACCTATCAAAACTACTCGAGTAACACCCTTGGAATGCTCTATCCCATATTGGGGTGTCTAAGCTGTCATCAAATGACCATCCCCAAATCCCTGAGTGCTGATGCAGTTTGAAAGCAAGGATCAGCCTTTTCCCCTTCCCCCTCCTTGTGAACACAAGAGAAAAAAAAAAACATTTAAAGCACCCACTTTCTTCCATACCTCCACCTTCCCCACTCTAATCAGAGGCCCACACGGACATGCATTCCTGCCAATCATGTGGACAATATTAAAAACAAAATTAAAAATTAAGTAAATTTAAAAAGAGGCATGTAGATGTGTCAGCTTGAATGACACAAATTGTTTTCCCTTATCCTGTACCTAAGGGTTAAAGAATATGTATTTTTTATATAAGAAACATTTGTTTATTTGAAAAACAGAGTTAGAAAGAAAACGGGGAGGGGGGAAAAAGAGGGAGAAAAGGAGACAGGGAGACAGAAGGAGAATCAATCTTCCATCCACTGGTTCACTCTCCGAAAGGTAGCAAAGGCTGGGGCTAGGCTGTCTGAAGCCAGGACCAAGGAAATGCTCCCAGGTTTCCCACATGGGTGGAGAGGCCCAATCATTTGCGAGCATCTTCCACGGTTTTCATAGACATATTAGCAGGGAGCTGGATAAGATGTGGTTCAGCCAGGACACAAACTAACTCCTGTATAGATGCTGGCATTGCAGACGACAGCCTAACCTGCTACAGCACAACGGTCCTGAGTATGTATTTGTTGAAGCCACATGAAACATTTATAAAAGCTAATCACATATTGGCACATTGATAAACTCTCCACAAATAGCAAAATGTTCACATCATATAAATAGCGATCTCTGACAATTCATTGATTAAATGTCAGCAAGGTATAAGTACCTGGAATGTGTAGGAGAGGATATTTCCACTCAGTCTGTAATACTGTTTTCCATCACCACTAAACACCTTTCTGCACTGACCGCCAAAGCTTTTGGTATTGATGATTTTTCTGGTAAATTGGCCAGTGAGTGCATTATAACTGTTGGAAGAAAGAAAAGGAAATGTATATGTATGTGCTGGAGGTAGTGATGGGAAGGCAGTTAAAAACCAGATATAGCAGTTGCTGAAACAAATCCTCATTAGAGAACTCTGGACACTCTCAAAGCACGGTAAAGCACTTCCTTTGAGAGCAGCATTCTAATGCATACAATGCATTATCCATGTTCGCTGCTTGGTATAATAGCTAGAAATAACAACTGGAAATTTCAACAGGCTTTCAGCCTACAAACACGTTTGGGAAACATGCAGCCCTGTTGTATCTATGGCAACAGCTAGTTTCCAGTTGAATCTGTACATAAAACCAATATGATTAAGGTTACTCTTGAGAAGAGCTCTCTACAGCCAATTTCAACTAATTGCCTCTTGGTATGCTGAATTTTACACTCTATAATCTCATTCAGTTTCTCTGCTAATAAATATTAAAGTGCCATCAAAAAATCACACCATCTATCACTCTTCAACAGATTATTTTTAAAGATTTATTTTTATTAGAAAGTTAGATATAGAGAGAGGAGGAGAAACAGAGGAGGAGAGATCTTTGGTTCACTGATTAACTCCCCAAGCAGCCACAATGGCTGGAGCTGGTCTGATCTGAAGCCAGGAGCCTGGAGCATCTGCCATGTCTCCCACACAGGTGCAGGGTCTCAAGATTTTGGGACATCCTCGACTGTTTTCTCAGGCCACAAGCAGGGAGCTGGCAGGGAAGCAGGGTCGCTGGGATTAAAACTGGCACCCATATGGGATCCCAGGCATGTAAGGCAAGGACGTTAGCCACAAGGCTACCACGCCAGGCCCAAATAGGTTATTTTTAAACTGGGCACTCAGTATTGTGGCATGGTAGGTGCCTGTGACACTGGCATCCCATATGAGTGGCAGTTGGAGACCCAGCTACTTCGCTTTTGATCCAGCTCCCTGTTAACATGACTGGGAAAGCACTGGAGGATGGCCCAAGTGAGAGACACAGAAGCTTCTGGCTCTTGGCTCTGGAGAGTGAACCAGCGGTGGTGAGATCTCTCTCTCTCTGTCTCTTCGTTTTTCTCTCACTCTCCTTAATTCTTTCAAATGAATAAATAAATCTTTCTTTTTTAACAAAGACTCTGAACTCTTAAGTCAGATAACCCATGAGAGTTCCTCAGAGATTTTGGTTTTTTGTTGTTTGTTTGTTTGTTTTTGGAAAGGCACACCAGGATTTTCCCCAAGTTCATTTGGCAATGGCAGTCTCATTTCAACCTGGGCTTTACAAAACTATTACTTCCTCCTTCCCCTGCCTGCTCTGATTCTGCTTTCTCTTCATTTTCTTGAGTAGCTCTACATTCTCCCTCCTTCTCCTTCTTCATTAGACTCTCCAGTCTCCTCATGGAGCACCCAACTGTCCAGGTTTACCTGGATACAGGATTTTCAGTGCCAAATTCAGGTCTTCCCCAGGAAAATCTTACCGCATACACCCACAGGTACACAGCTGGGGATTTTATTAATTACTTTAGAATGTGGCAAAGAGCTCTAAGCCACTAAAAGCGTCACCTGCTAGGTGATTTGTTGTTAGATTTACTGGACCATAAGATAAAATAATACTAAAAATTACAAACCACCGATTTACACAGGCGGCTGCCCAGCACCTTACCCCAGTCCAATAAGTTCTATGTTGGGAGGAGGCTTGTCAATGTCACAGAAAGGTCTGCCGTCTGAGTCCTCACATTTGTCTTCATCAGCACTATCCTCTTCACAGTCAGAATCCCCATTGCAAACCAACGATTTGCTGATGCACTGACCTGAGCACAAGAAAAGCCCCGTGCAGATAAAAAAAAAGAAGAAGAAGAAGCAGAGAAATTTATAGAATCAAAATTGCCTTATCCCCCATCTCCAATACTGCCCAAATGTGAAATGGAGATAAATCCTCAGAAGGTCTGGGAAGAGACAAGCAACTATTTTGGTCTCCATTGTACAGCACACCACAGTTGATTCTTACCTTGTCCAAAATTGAAAACAGAAGGTGAATTGAAAATTCCAGGCTCTCACCCACAATCATCCCATAGTTTGTCCAAATCCTGCAAAATCACACTAGGCCAGCCATTAGAACTAAAGATTACACTCCTGTTCTCCAGTTTTTTAATTCCTTTCTATAATCACTAAAGTTGTGCTTCCCTTGATGACTTAGATTCATAAGCTTTGAGAGCATAACAATTGGGTAAAAAGTTCAAAATCATGTATATTCTTGGTACACTATTCTATTTAAGACTGGGTATTAGGATACAAATATGCATAAAATTTGCACAAAAGTGGTCTTTTCTAGATTCACATGCTTTACAGTTGAACAGGAAAGATATAGTTCATCATAATTCAGCAATATGATTTTTATGATATCATTAGCCCAGAATTCCAAGAAAGTGCTGCAATGTATCAGAGAACCTAGCACCTGCCTGTCTCCTCAGCATCATATCCAGCCACTCTCAGATGACCTGCCATGTACTGCCATCCTACTGGGAGGCTTGCAGGAATGAAATATCAGGCTTTCTCTAATCTCTAATGCTCCTGCCTTCCTTGAAGGCTAGTCCTCCTTCAGGCTCTATGATGCACGTCCTTCCTCTGTGTCTTCACAGTATGCGTTATCAACTGTCCCCAGAGTATGCAACAGGTACCCCACTGTACTGTCACCTGATGCAATGCAGCAAAGACTGTTGAGCATCTATTATGCATTTCAGATGCCAAAATGAAAAAAACATAGTCTTTATCTTCAAGAAACTCACAGTCTAGTACGGGAAGCATTCAGGCCAACAATAACCAGGATGACAGATGGTATAAGACACATAGAGGAAGGTAGAGCAGTGCTTTGCCAGCATCTTCTATCAGTTGGGGGTTTAGGAATGCTTCCCAGAGCAGATGTCATCTGATCTAGATTTTGAAACTAGACTAGGAGGTTGACAGGCATTGTTGAGGAGTACGTCCAATGCAGGGATTTTTTTTAATTCTATTCTGGCCATTAAACTCTAATATTTTTGAGGTGAAAAATATATGTTTCATTTATCTATGTCCACAATCCTCAACACTGTATATATGTGTGTGTGATACATTGTGATACAATATATAATTACATTACATTAATGTGTCATAACAAAAAAATAAACATATACTAAAATTGTTAAATTAATCTGACTGCAGAAATATAAACCAGTCAATAGGTTAACTAACACTCAATACCTAAGCCGTGCTCATTCATCTCATGCACGCAGGTGATATGTCTTGCTCCTTGCTTAGCTAACTTAAGCTGCTTTATTTGTAGATGCAATAATTTGAGCAGTAACACTGTTTGCTTCCAGCTTTGGTATAAAAATCAGACTCACGCTTCATCTCCAACAAAAACAGTATCAAGAACTGTGTGGTCCATCAACAGTCATAATTTCTATTCAAAGAGGCAATATCATTCTCATTTTTATTATCAGATGTGTTTGAAACAATAATGGCTGAGTATGTAATTAGTTCACCAGTAAAAACTCTTCTAATATTGAGGATAGATTAATTTATAGGCCAATATGAATCCAATGAAATCCAACAAATACACACTGAGTAAGTTAAATGAACAGTATTTGAATTTACTCTTCATGCTGCACTCCTGGAAAACAAATTACCTGAAAAACATCTGAAACGGTCTCCACATCCCTCCTCTGTTGGACATCCCCGGGTAGGCTCACAAGGTTGGGTTTCAAAAGCATCTCCAGCACAAGGATGGCCCCCATACTGCCCATAGACAGCAACTGGCCGCCTGCGAGTCTAAACACAAAACAGGTGGTACCTTCCTATGTGTCTCCAATTCACTTTATCTGAGTAACACAATTCAAGAGCAATCTGTACCATTTGAGAAACAACATCAGGACATCTGCTCTGGTGTTCTATAGAAGAAAAAGCTTCAAAATCAATTAATCTGCTTGGGTCAATGTCACTTGGGTTATCTCAGACAGAGAGCGAGCTCCAAACCATACATTTGTTTCCAGGTTAAGTTTTTAAAAATTGTTTTTAGTGAGTTATGGAAAAAAAGATTTGAAAGAGTCACACTCAGTTGAGTAGACACATAGCAGATACGTTACCATTCAGATGAAGGCTTTCACTCAAAGCTATGTATAAAGAGCTAATTAAGGAAAGGTAGAAAGAACTTTGCTGAGAGTGGGCGAGAAGAATGAGAAGGAATGTTAAGTTGAATGAAGTCAAGGAAACCTTTAGAAAATTGGTGGCAATTCATTTGAGTTGAACCTTAAGCCTTCCTCAGGAAAACAAGGCAAAGAAAAAAAGAGTTTATGGGGCGATTTTACAATACAGAAGTCAATTATATCAAAATATATAAATACATATTTTGGATATATATATATCTCCAAAGTAGTTCAAAAGTAAGGTCATATCCATGATGAGATTTTTGAGACTATCAAAAACATTGACCTCTGCAGTAGAACACACTTAAAAAAAATGAATCTGTGAAAGAATATAGGAAAATTGAGAAACCAAAGCTAAATAAAAATTTATTACTAGTCTGTTTTAAAATTAATTTAACCCTCCTTTTATAAACGTAAAAATCCACAACATCCTTTTCCTCCCCACTGGCAATCAAAGGTACATTCTCAGACTTCTGTACTCACCTTTTCTCCATTACTAAAAAGGAAACATATCTGAGCCTTCCGAGGATTTAAACCATGAACAAAGATTCACAGAGAAGAGTACATATACAAGCTAATGTTGACTGCATTCATCTGTTCTAAATAGGGTTTGTTTGGAACAAGGGGTCATGGTCATGAAATCTGAATTCCGAGTATGTTTACATCAGCCACAGGTTCGCTGTCTGCAGCTTTCATGTCTTTACAGACAGACCCTGAGGAAAATGGCTAGGAAGTGCAAGCTGCTGAAGTTTTTGCTTTGATTTTTTTTTTTTCTGTCTTTAATTGAGGAAGACAACTTCTAACACGGCTTATCAACGTGTCTTTCCCTGAGGTTCCTAAGCAGGTTGGGGTGTTTGTACAGGTAATACTTTCCTCTGCACAGCACCACCATGCCCTTGATGGCTGGTACTCTCTGTAGCCTCACTCTCACCTGTCAGATTCTGATCTTCTGACCCCTTTTTCATTTGCACTTGTCTTCGGCTGAGCAAAAACTTTGTTTGCTAATATAGAAGTATATATATTGCATACTGACCTTCATTCAGAAGGAAAAAAATTACTTCTGTGAAAAATATCTTCTAACCCTCCACTTCTACTTAATGTTCTTTCTTACTTATCATTTACACAATGTTTTATGCACTTGGTTTTTCTTTGACTTACACCTCATTTTTTTATGTTCCTGGTTGCCTGTAACTATAATTATCTGTAATATTTGCTAGAAGCCAAATTCATCATTTCTGTGACTTGTTTTAAAACATTACGCATGTAGGTGATAAATAAATGTTTTATAAAAATGACAATCATGATTATGCTGAAAAACAGAAGTTATTTTCTACAACATGATTCTAAATATATCTTATCTAAATTTGATCCCTTTATACATGTTTAAATATTAATACATTTAAGAACTTTAAAGCGAACATGCTTCTAAGAATCTATCTTAAGTATGTTATGAGAAGACAGATAGCCAATCACAAAAATATTCATAAAGTTTGTTTTTAATAATAGAAACAAAAAGAACCTAAATGTCAAATAGCAGAAAAGTGGATAAATAAGAAGGTAGATTCATATAATGGAACATAATATAGTATGTTAGGCTAAAATAATAGAACATAAACATGCATGTTAATATACATAAGTAATATGTAAAATATAATCCTATTTTTTAAAATTGTAAACACACAGAAAATAAGCTTAAGGAAAAAAATACTAAGATGCTGCTACATCTCCTTACTAATGGTGAAATTCTGAATCATGCTCTCTTCCTAATTTTTTTATATTTTCTCCAATGAAAATTTTGTAGTAAAGAAAAACTGGCATTTCCAGCAGCACTCTATAATATCTCAGATCAAGTCTCTTGTTTGTATTACACTAGGGTATTACACTTCAAAACTGCAAAACATTTGATTTGATATTGATAGCTGAATACATGTGAAGTAAAACAAAGCAACTATTTTACTAACTCACTGGAGTTTTCTTGGAATGAGAAAATCTGAATCCAGCCATTACTAAATAATCTGAATTATCTACTACTTTCATCTCATGCTTCACTATTTCTCTAACAAGGAGTTAGGAGTCGCCTCTGTCTTTTGGTCTATGTACGTTTCTAGACAACAGTAACATTTATAAAAGTCCTTCAAAAAACACAATGGAAAAACAGAAGGAAAATGAAAATCTTTGAAGAAAAATAAATACAGGAATGACTACCATATTCAAGTATTTCACATTTTTTCTCATTTCAAAATCACTTACATAATTTCCCAGAAATATTAACATGTATTAGTGAACATTCAGAAGTTAATATCATTGTGAAAAAGCCCATGCTCCCTGTGCACGTAAATAATCAAATACAAAGTTTTGTTACCTGCGTCTTGGTACAGCCACTGCACTCTGACCAAGAGCCATAGGAACCCCACTGGCAATTGATTGGAGAAGAGGCACTGTCACAGTGGCAAATTCCCCATCACAAAGCAGGTGCACAAATGAGGAAGATGCAAAGAATAGTCAAGACAAAGAATAGTTAAAAACTCTTTCAAGTTTTTTCTAAAGAGATAACTGAAAGTATCCCAAAATATATAAAAATGGGGTAACTCATTTTCTTAAAAGGTTAACATTTATTAAAGATCTGTTACAAACTACATACTATGAAGACAGTAGAATATAGCAATAATAAGAGACAGGACACTGACTTGATAGAGGAAAAGACAGACATTAAAAAAAATCATAATAATACAACACATGTAATTTGATAGATTTCATAACAGGACTGTGAAGTATATAATGTGATATGGAAACATGGATAAGGGAGCATTTGGAGTTGGCAGGCCAGGGGAGAACATAGAGGAGGAAGGTGTTATGGCCTTTGAGAGCTTGTGAATGATAAGTTGAAAAGAATCCAAAAACAACTGAGAGATAGCAGCTCTAATAAGACCCCATGGGAATTGGGAAGCTAAAAACCAGTAGAAGGCAACTAGTTAAAAATTTAAAGTATTCTCTCAGTTCATTTAGACCACTTCTCAAGCACACACCCACGTGGAGCAGTCTTGAGCTCAGACAATTCCACTGATATAAAATGCATGTGAAAAATGGAGAGTTGATTTACACAATGCTCAACTCCTGGCCAAGTCATATAGGAGTCGTCTAAGACAAGAAGTAATCTTTACCTAAAACAAGGTCCCACAAGAAGTAAAGAGCCAAGACTCCTGGTTTCTGGATTTGTAGCACACTGGCAGGCTAGGAAATACCCAGGGTCAAGGGGATAAACTTAAAGATTGTCAGGTCACCCCAATCCTGTTCTGTAGCGTGTGTTTGCCTGGGAGAGTTTATGGAACCAGCCTTGCTAGCTTGAAATTTTCGAAAGGCACCAATGTTACAAAAAGCCTGAGTACTTTTAATGTAGAAATACTCATTAAGCTGACTGTGAATTATCTAGTTTGTGTCCCAGGGAGAGGTTTCCCCAGGAAGAGCTCTGACTGTTAGGATCCAGACAACATTTTCTAAGGGTTACACTTAAAGATCAAATAGCGAACTGAGGTAGACATCTGACGTGCCTGCATCCCATATCACTGTGCCTGGTTGTGGTCCTAGCCACTCTGCTTCCCGTCCAGCTGCTGGCTAATACTCTACTTTCCGTCACTGCTGCTCACATGAGAGCTTCAGGCTGAATTCTAGGCTTCCGGTTTTAGCCTGACTGCAGTCCTATCTATTGTGAGCATTTGGGAAGTAAACCATTTGATGAAATACTCTCAATATCTCTGTGTCTGTCTCTCTGTCTCCCTCTCCCTCTCTTCCACCCTCTCCATGCCTTTCAAATAAAGTAAAATTTAATACTTTAAAAAACAATGCTTTGGAACATATAGATCTGTTTTAAGTCTCTGAATTACAGGTAAAATCATGGAATGGGACACAGACCTGGAGTTATTTTTAATATACATCTTTCTTTCTTACAAGGAACAACAATAATATGGTAAAACTAAAATCAATAAGCAAAATTATAATAATAAAATACATACTTTGTTGCATTGACCTAGTCAGCCATTGTGCTGTCCATGCTGTAAGGGTGCCCTGTAGCTGGTTTCCAGTATTAGGACCTTTCACTGAACCTCAGTTCTACTCAAGGAAGTATCAGCTACTGGTCAGGAAACAATCACCAGTCCTTGAAAAGGAGAGAGTTTCCACTGGTTTGTATGAGTGTCGAGTGTGAGACGGGCAGAATCAGGCTGGACTGCAGCACGCATTGGTTGTGTAGAAGACAGGGCTGGAAACAGAACTGACCCAGCAATTGCAACCACCAGCATATGCATAAGCCAATTGGGCCAGCGGACTGTGCTAGACCCTGTACTGGCACGCACACACAAGAATCAGGTCTGGGATCACCTCTGACAAAGTTTTTTGGGGATCCCTCTAACTGAACTGCAGATCTCAGAACTCCAACCATGAAGAGAAGTGCAGGTTCCATGGTCTGGCCACGGAGTGCATGTGTCCAAGCTGAGCCTCCTCAGAGGCTCAGACACAGTGGTAGACAGCATATCCAGGTGCACATGGAGGAGATGGCAGTGCATTGGAATCTGCAGAGGACACCTGGTACCACAACAGAGGATGGAGGACAGAACAAATTGATCATCTGCTCCAGCCATGTGTTGGCAGTGAAAATCTGGACAAATGGAGACTCTAAAGTGGACTATGTCAGCCAGTGGATTCGGAAGAGATTCCATCGTGCTTGGCTTGGCAAGATTGGCAGCAATACAGAACTGTTGAATTATCAAAACCACTTGAGCAGTGCCCTCAGAGCATGACCCACATCGGGGACCCTGGGATGCGTGGGAGGCTGGGTGGGGCTTTTCTTCTTATCTCTCCCCTTACCCCAGATAAAGAAAAAAATTAATGTGGAAACAATGGTCTTACCCACTTATCTGTAGCCCTTGACCTTTTGTGCCCTTATCAACTATGTAAAGATTAGCAAATAAAATAATAATTTTTTAAAAATAAAAGGGGGAGGGCCCGGCGACGTGGCCTAGTGGCTAAAGTCCTTTCCTTGAACGCGCTGGGATCCATATGGGCGCAGGTTCTAATCCCAGCGGCTCCATTTCCATCCAGCTCCCTGCTTGTAGCCTGGGAGGTCAGTTGAGGATGGCCCAATGCTTTGCGACCCTGCACCCGTGTGGGAGACATGGAGGAAGTTCCTGCCTTCTGACTCTGGATCGGCTCAGCACTGGCCGTTGCACTCACTTGGGGAGTGAATCGTCTGATGGAAGATCTTCCTCTCTATTTCTCCTCCTCTCTATATGTCTGACTTTGTAATAAAAATAAATAAATCTTTAAAAATAAATAAATAAAAGAGGGAGCTTTAGGTCTTAGGACCACAATAGAGTCACTAACCTCCCCTTCCACTGTCTGCGTTTCTCTACATTTAGATCCATCTCAGGGTGACAGCAAGTGTGCCAAACTATTGTTCTTCCTTAGCCAATATCTGAGCTTGTTAACCATTATGAGATGTTCTTCAATTTTCAGTAAGTTATTCTTTGATTTTCAATGTGACTGATGTTTTAACTTGATTCAATGCATTCATCTACCCAACAAGGACAGTGTAAAATCCATAACCAAACTTGGGCTGTGGCATGATCAACTCAGGCAACCGATTGCTTCCAAGTTTAAATCTTCAATTTGTCTTACCAAATAAACTTTGAGTTTCAACCAGACTCTTACTGTTTTTTTTTTTTCAGTTAACAGTTACCATTGCATTTTCTACAAATATGGAAAGGCAAAATACATTGAAGAAATAAACACGCTGAAACTTCAATGTAAAAATCCAGGCATATCAAAGAATTTCCTTCAAATGATTTCAAAAGGGTTTTAAATGGTTTTTACACACAATACAAAAAATTCTCACCTTGAAAAACTTTCAAATTCTCCCATAAATCCCATCAAAATGAATAAGCTGACTGCCTGCAGAAGAAAAAAATAAAGTGTTAATTTGTCTTGCATTTCTTTAATAAGGTGAAAACTAATACATTCATGAAAGTCAAGAATTGTGAGTAGGCAGTACAAAGAATGAAAGAATCATAGAGAAGGTCAAATGACTCTGCTTTTGTGTTTCCTTTTTAGAAGTTTCATGGTTCCTCAAAGAATTAAAAATAGAAAAAGATTAAAAATGAACATATAATCCAGTAATCCTCCTTACTCTGTATACAGGAAATAAAGTGAGTATGTTAAAGAGATTTCACTCCCATGTTCACGGTAGCCAAGACATGGAATCAACACGTGTTCATCAAAGGATGAAGAGATTAAAAGTAGAATGGGTTAAAATTATGTCTCGCAAATAATAATGAAAAGAAGGGAAAGAAGTAAGGGGATTGAGGGAAGGAAAGGAGGAGGGGTGTGAAAAGTATGCTTATCTATTTACAAGACTATCCATAAAATACATGAAATTTGTTCTCTTTGTATTAATAAACACTTCAATGTATATAAAAATAAACGTGGTATATAAATATTGATACATGTAGAGTAGTCAGTTAGACAGCTGTAACTAGGGCTCTCCAGGTTAGGACACCTGCCATTCAGTGCAAGTAAAACTGCCTCTCATCTGGAGCCAGAGAGACAGTTGTGGTCAGCTCTTCCTGCCCCACGAATGACCCCACCATCAGATACGCCATGGCAAATCCTTTCTGACCATTAAAACTACTCCTCTGCCCTTGGGTGCTTTTCGAAGGGAAGGAGTAGGCAAAATTCCTCCACTTTATACCACTGTGCCACCTCTCCAAATGCCTCTGTCTACTTCAACATCAGAGCAGGAGGAGTGACAGGCAAAGGAGTCAAAAAGGACCTTGCTTGGCTGATCCGGTTGGAGTCTGGTGATGGTAAACCAGAGCAAGTTAGATATCATCATGCCAATTTGTTATCTCTCATGGTGTTTTGTACTCTGTGGCACAAATGATTCATCCTTCAGGTCATCATTTCTGACCCTCTCTAGCACCTGTTTCCTCTGAATCTTTCCATACTGATGCCATCTGTTGGGACGGCTGCATCCAGTCAGCCTTTGGGACAGATGCCCTGACAACCCAAGTGTGGCTCCTTTCCAGAGGGTCACATCTGGTTTGTGGATCACCTGCACACTGACCTAGGGCTTACTGTTGTTGGCATTAGGGTAGAAAACTGACAAATACAAAGCAATCTTTCTCTCTTTGCTCTCCTTTATTCTCTCTCTCCCCCTCCTCTCTCTCTCTCTCTCTCTGTCACCTATGTCTGTTCTGTCTCTACTCCCAAATAAAACGAAAATAAAATTTAAAATTTTCAATTTAAAAAATATGGAAATCCTGAATAATTATCTTAGCCTATGACTCTCAATCAAAATGGGCGTCATGAAATAAGTTATTATTGACGTCATTTTTGATGGTTACCATGGTTACTGGAGAAGGGTGGAGTTTGCTTCCAACCCAACCCAGAACGGATGGCAGAATTCCGGCAGACCCATCAGGCTGTGAAACCACTGTTGCACCAACGAGGGGCACAAAACTATATCCCCCAGCAAATAAGGGCCAAGGCGACTGCTGTTTTGACTTCTGCATCAAGGGGGTTTAAAAGGCCCCTGCACATCTCTTTGTAGCTCTTCTTCCTCGTAGTCCTCTCCCTCACGTATACCTTCCTGCTCCACGGGGAAGGGAAGCCCATGACCGTGGCTCCCCGGACTAAAGGTCATCTAAATTATTTTGATATATTTGGCTGAGTTATTCTTTCCCTGATGGTCAGCGAATCTGACCATTTTTACATGAGTTTTAAAAGAATCTCAACAAAATTTTTAAATCCACTTTGAACTGTAAGTGCCTTTGTCACCATGTACATGTTCCTTATTATTGGCTCAGAACAAGGCCAACTCTGTTCACTAGTTATGAAACTCACTGACCAAAAGGAACTTTTTTTGAAACTTTGCCAGCTGATTCTATGAAAAGAAAGCAGTTGCTCTTCCTTGCCACTGAGTGGGGAGGATGGGGAGCAGGCAGGGGTGGGGAGAGCACCTTATCAAATGGACAAAACAGAGAGAGATAAAACACAAATAGAAATCAAAGCATGAAACACACATCTCTAAGACATCTGTAAAAAATAGCTTAGTAGAGAAGGTATGAAACTCTTGTACTGCATCAATGTACGTAAGATGGAGCTGAATCTCTCCTTTCCCGGCACTGACTGGGCCATGGCTCTAGCTCATTCACTTAATGAATTCCGGCTCCAGCCCTGATCACAGTCTTCACTGGGCTTGACCACATCCTGACATTCTATGAATCACTCCTCGGGCCCACAGACCTCAAGCTCAGCTCAGTTCTGGGAGTGCAGAATCGTGGCTGGCCTACAGCCAGCTCAGATAGAAGCCCCTTTGGCCCTGAAGTCCTTCTCAAATAACCCAAACTTAAGTTGCTGCCTATCCTGGAGATACAAAAAGAATCAAAATGGATAAACTTATGTGGATGGATGACAGCAGGCTGAGACAAAAAGATTATGTCCCTTGGAAAGCCCCAATACGGAAAGCTGTCCTTTGGTCTTAATAACCCAAAGTTTTTTCAAGTTGCCTTCTTCAAAGCAATCACAACAGCATTGTCCTGTCCTTCAGGCTTACTGCAAAAACATGAACATCTATTCAAATATAGATAGAAACTATGCAGCAAGCTGGAATGAAAGAATTCCTTTGTTTGTTGACACTCTATCAACCAATTAAAAGATAAAAGCATGCTTATTATCAGAGCAGTAAAATGTCATCATAACCAATGACTGTGAACACATTTTTAAGCACAAAGCAATTATTAAGATGTCTCATCATAAAAATGAGGAAATTGATTGACAGTTAATACAAACACTTGGAGAAAGCATGTTAGCTAGAAGACTTTAGGAAAAGCATCAATCTTTTCAAGTTAACATATATTCTAAATTTTTAAATCAAAGTATAAGGTGAGGGGCCCAGAGCAATAGCCTAGTGGCTAAAGTCCTCGCCTTGCACATGCCAGGATCCCTTATAGGCAACGGTTCATATCCCAGCAGCCCCGCTTCCCTTACAGCTCCCTGCTTGTGGCCTGGGAAAGCAGTCAAGGTCGGCCCAAGTCTAGAGATCCTGTACCTACATGGGAGACCCAGATGAAGCTCCTGGCTCCTGGTTTTGAATTGGCTCAGTTCCAGCCACTGTGGCCACTAAGGGAGTAAATCAACGGACAGAAGATCTTCCTCTCTCTCTCTGTATATCTGACTTTCCAATAAAATAAAATGTCTTTTCATAAATACAAGCTGCAGTAATAGAAATTAGATTATATCATAAGTCTAAATTGTAAAGCTGAATGGTATTCAAAGGTCGTAACATTAAATAACTGAGCTGTGAAATTTGTGTTTAATTTTAATTACTCAATTCCACATAATATATGAGTTATTTAAGATTCATTCCTCTTGGACTCAGCGCAGTAGCCTTGTGGCTATAGTCCTTGACTTGCAAGCATCGGGGTTCCATAGGGTACTGATTCATATCCTGGGTGCTGCACTTTACTTCCAGCTTCCTGCTTGTGGCATGGGAAAACAGTAGAGAATGGCCCAAAGCCTTGGGATCCTGCACCTGCATGAGAGACCCAGAAGAAGCTCCTGGCTTGGGATCAGCTCAGCTCTGGCCATTTGGGTCACTTGAGGAGTGAACCAGTGGATGGAAGATTTTTCTCTCTGCCTATCCTTCTCTCTATAAATCTGACTTTCCAAAAAAAGTAAATAAATATATATATAAAAAAAAAGATTCGTTACTCACTCCTCCTTCAAACCCATTGGTAAGTGGGCACAGATTCAGTCCGGCAAATGTGCAGCCCAGGCACCTCAGAAGCAATCCAGCAGCTGGTAGGCTATCAAATTATTTTCCAACATAATAATGTAACACTTTTTAGGTTTAAATATCAAAATTTATAAGAACAAAATGATAATACCAATTTCAATTTATTTTTGCTTCTGAAATATTCCATCTATAATAGTGATAGATTGTATGAATCTTTTGCCTTCCTATAATAGTGATGTGTTTAAGCTATTCTTTGGTTGAAGAGCATTTTTTGTCTCAACATCTGGCCATTTCACAGTGGGCCATTTATCCTTACTAAACCTTTCATTTCCTCCTACCTGCTTGAATTGTCTGTCTTCACAGTCCTAACCTTTCACTCAGGATTCCAAATTCTAAATTTCCTTGTGGTAAACTTTGCTTTTCTAAAAAACCCTGAAATAAGGAAATTCATATTGCTTGACCCTAAATCACAACAAATAAAGAAAACAAAACAAAACAAAAAATCATGGAGGAAACATTTCTCTAAGAAATAACAACAGCACATTTGCAAATCCTTATCTATTTCTTAGGACTTTCAGAAACATTGCCTCCAATTCTTTATCCCAAGCTATAATTTGGCTACAAACTAAGTCACTTTGATAAACCCACTGTTGAATATATTTAAATAAGAATACATAAAAGTCAGTCTCAGATCTTGTCTATTTTTCCATGCCTCTCTCCTTCCATGAAAGATTAAGCATTCCCCACCTTTTCAGAAGGCTTCATTTTAAAGGAAAGAAGTTATTCCCTTACCTTCATGTTTAGGCAAACACTCCTGGGCAGAAGAAAGAATGGAATTTTCCTCTGTGAGTCTCCAAGAAGTTTATAAGAGCAGGAAGAGCCCAGCAGGCAGCCTCCTTCTCCACCTCTCTCTGCTCTGGGTTATCTTGGCACTCACACATGGAGCAACTGATTCTTAGATGCAGCCTCTGCCCCAACCAGATTCCCCAGGGACATCAGGGTCTCTTCCCCCAACCTTTGCATGTAACCTTTGTCTTGGAGCCAGATGTTTCTTATCAATGACAAAGGCCTTAGCCACAGACAGCTGGAACTCACTGGAAGCTAAAGATATGTTTCTGCAAAAAAAAAAAAAAAAAAAAAGCATATCTACAAATCAGGACAGCTAGCAAATGTTCTTGACTCAATGTTTCAGTGATTTTCCTCCAAAAGAGACTATCAAGCAAAGGGTGAGCCTGCTTCCTATTTCCATCCACTAAATCAAACAGGTATTTTTTACGATTCTCTTGAAGGATGTCATGCATCAGACTTTGAGAAGACTTTGTGGGAGAAAAGATCTAAAACGCAATTCTGTCACATAAATTGTAAATGGAATGTTCTGGAGTAGAATTTCTTTCCCAATAAAGTACAGCCTAACACAATGCAATAGCCATTCCTTTGTGTTTAACTTTCTTTTTTTTTTTCACAGTATTCATGAATGGAGTTTTAATTTTTTTTCCACTTTTTTATTATATTTTTGACAATCTTCACATAGTTAATTAGGGCAAAAAGGATGTGTTTAACTTTCACAAAACGATCACAAAATATATTTTTTGTTTGCTTACTAATCTATTTCAGGGTTCCACTAATTGTCTCAAGAACTTACCAGCCCTTCAATACGTTACTCTGCTTGAAAGTTCCTATCAGTGTCATCTTCAACTGTTACCTGACCTTTCTTTGCCAGATCTTCACATGTCTGTAACTTTATTTTGAGTCTAGCAGTTCTCCAATGTCACTTTCATAGATTTCATGAACTAATACATTTTTCTTAAGATCTCAGATTTCCTACTGAAAGTAAGCTACAATTCCATTTGTTTTGTTTGGTCAAAAATTCGGATTCTCCCTGATGGGACATTTCAATGGTTAGATAGACTTAACTGTTACTAGAAAAGCAAATCAAAGTTGAAACTAATATTATAAGTAAACATTTTTATCTCTGTGCACTTGGCAATTTTGATGACTTCCTTCCTGTATCCGAAGTACTCACATAATAGGGACAACCCCTGCCCCTGTGCTTACAAATTAATGAATCCTTTCCAGAAATAAAATTTTCACATCTTTGGTTGAAATTTTTAGTGATCTGTATATGAGAAATTTTGCCAGTGAAGATAATCCCTGGCTCCTGAAATAAATTTGTTTTTATTTAACTCAAGTTAATTCCAGATGCCACAGACTCTTAAAGTACAAACGTGCAAGTCCGCATTCAGTGACTGTCAATGACTACTCTCAGAAGTAGATTCAAAGAAAAGAATTCAATTACAGGAATTTGGGAGGCTCTGCTTTTGTTTTGAGATGTGACCCTAGAAATCACGGCTGGCATGCAGACGTGAGAGTGCAAAGGGAAGGGGCAGCGGCAGTGCACTGGAATTCATTCTCCGGGTGAATCTCAGAAGGCAAAGCAGAGCACGCCTCAGAGTGAGTCTGATTAAGGGCTGGAAGTTGGGATGTTTACCCACCAAGACCCTGTCCAAGGCTGGTAAAGGTGGTGTCTGGATTTGGGACATCTGCTCGCTGTCATTTCTAGCTTGCCTGCCAGAAAAAGGAAAAGGTTGGGGGCAGATACTGTAGCATAGCACACTAATCCCCCATCTGTGGGTGCTGGTTCATGTCCTGGCTGCTCTGCTTGTGATCCAGTTCCCTGCTAATGATCTGGGAAATCAGCAAAGGATGACCCAAACCCTTGGGCACCTGCATCCATGTGGGAGACCCAGACGAAGCTCCTGTGTCCCAGTTTTGGACCAGCCCAGCTCTGGAAGTAGCAGCCATTTGAGCAATAAGCTAATGGATGCAAGCTCTCGCTCTCTCTCTCTCAGTAATTCTGACTTTCAAGTAAAATAATAAATCATTTTTAAAAACAAAAAGTTTCAGTAGCATTGCAGATAATCTGCAGGTGTTTGTCTTCATCATGGAGCTGCAGGTGGTGAGGCCTGGGGAAGACACTAAGAACATTGGCTATAGTGGCTTTTATTCCTTCATTAATTTGCTGATTCTAAATTCAAGAAATGTATATTGAAGAGGTGTACTGTGATAGTCAGGTCCTTATTCTGACAGGTCCTTGTTTATTTCCAGTCTTTACTACCTATAAATAACCCTACTAGTCCATTTATGTATCCTTAATTTAGATGATGATTTGAATGTCTCTCTAATACTTTAGAGCTTGAATTGTTGATCTGAGGCATTCTGCAGATTATTCAATGTTAAAAGGTTTGCAGAAATACTATTTCCCTGTCTTGCTTTCATGGTCTCATTTCTACATCTTTGATTTCACATTAGCATTTTGTCTGCCTGAAATTTCAATGGAGAAGCCACTAGAACAATTTAAAGACCTTAAATATACATAAGAGCTACACTGAGGAGATTTTAACTGCCAGTATAAATTGCATGGACTTTATTTAAAGGTCAGTGGAAATTTACCCATGGGAAGCTTTTAAGAAAAAAACAAGGACCTAGCGTGGTAGCCTAGTGGCTAATGTCTCACCTTGCATACGCCAGGATTCCATATGGGCCCCCATTCTGTTCCTGGCTGCTCCACTTCCCATCCAGCTCCCTGCTTGTGGACTGGGAAAGCAGTCAAGGATGGTCCAAAGCCTTGGAACCCTGCACCCTTGTGGAAAATCTGGAAGAAGCCCGTGGCTCCTGGCTTCGGTTTGGCACAGCTCTGGGGCTGTTGCAGCCACTTAGGGGGTGAACCAGCTGATTGAAAATCATCCTCTCTGTATCTCCTTCTCTGTCTATGTCTGTCTTTCCAATAAAAATAAAATAAATCTTTTTTAAAAAGAAAAAAAATGGTGTTCATCATGGCTAAACAACAACAGCGTGAAGATAGCATAAGAAGGGTAATGGGGGAAGTCTTTGGAATTTAGCAGTTCAGGCAAGAAACATCAAGCCCTCTTTAAGAAAAGACAGGTAAAACAAAACAAAAAAAGGAGAGAGAATAGACAGGTAAGAGGGCTAGGAAGATTCACAATATATAATGATTAGACACAATTTCAAGTCTGATTGACTAGCATAATTGGAAGAATCTAGGAACAAACTGAAGAAGGAAAATAGTCCAAGAGAAAAGGATGGTTCGGGAAAGGTAGCATTTTTACTTCAAGGAAGACATCCAGCTAAAATTGTAAATATTTTTGGAAGGAGATATTTCTTGGAGAGCATCTGATCTGCATCCCTTGGCTGACATCCAACACGTAAGTGAACAGGTATAATTACTCAGAGAAAGAAGAAAGCCAAAAAGGAAATAGAGAGACGAAGTGAAATCTGTACTCTGCAGCCTCGGGCCAGTTTGGGAGAATTTCAAGAATGGGCCAGTCAACAACAACAAAAGCCACACGGAGGTCAAAGAGAATGAGTATTAGTGAGGGAGCATACCACCATGCAATGAGAAGCCTGTTGACAAGCTTAAGGCAGAGTTTGCCGATCTATTTTCCCTAAGACTCTGCTGTTGCAAGACACAATAGAAAAAATATGAACTTTGTGGTTAAGTAAATGTAAGAAATTATATAGCAAGATCTTCATAAAGTTCATGAAAAATATATACTATGTAAAAATGCTATGTATGATTTTCAAAAGTTTTTGCCCTAAAATTAATTTATCTAGGAATAGCATTTTCCATGAGCTTTTAAAGCCTTCTTCCACAGAGCAGGCTTTCTTAATCTCTACACTGCTGACCTTCTGGGTCTCACAGTTCTTTGGAAAGGGCTGCCCTGCACAAGGAAGGATGTTCAGCAGTGTCCACAGGCCCTAGAAGTCAGTGCATCCTTCCCTGGTCACGATGATCAAAAATATTTCCAGACTTTGTCAAGTGTCCCCTTGGGGGCAAACAAGCCCTCCCCTCCTTCACTGAATGGGAGTCACTGTGGCAATGTCTATTCCCAGCAAATGCCCGGCCACAGGAGACTATCACTGTGGTTTAGGACATTAAGCTACTGCCTGTAGACCAGCATCCCATATGAGCACTGTTTCAAACCCTGGCTGCTCCACTTTCAATCCAGCTTCCTGCTAATGCGCCTGGGAAAATAGTGGAGGATAGCCCAACTGCTTGGGCCCCTGTACCCAATGAGAAAAGGAAGAAGCTCCTGGCTTCTAGCTTTAGCCAGGCCAAGTCCTGGTTGTGCACCGGTGGATGGAAGATGTCTCTCTGTGTCTCTCTTATACCATCTATAACTCTGCGTTTCAAATGAATAAAATAAATCCTTTTTTAAAAATGCCCAGCCATGAACACGTTCATTGTAAATCCTAAAAATCTAGTCCATTATAAATTAACTGCTGTGAAAATCTGCAGCAAATAAAAGTGGTGGGGCTTTCCCCCCATCCCCATTTTTCTTTTTATTCGAGAAACACAGTAAAGAGACAGATAAAAAAAGGCAGATCTTCCAGCCACAGGTTCATTCCCTAACTTCCTGCGACAGCTAGGATTGGACTACGGTCCTCCACATGCTTAGCTGAGACCAGAATCCTTGAGGGATCAGCTATGGCCTCCCAGGATGAAGACGAACAGGAAGTTGGATAGGAAGAATAGCTGGGACTCGGGACAGGCACTCTGATAGGAGCCACGGGCATCAAACATCCACCTCCTAATAACACTTTTTAAGCTTTTTCATCCCACAATTTCACAAGGTTACCTGAATGCAGAACTTGGATTTCTAACAGCCCCCAAAACTGGGGGGTTTTTGGCAAACAGAATCTGAGCAATACCAAAATCAGTACGGGAAAAAATGATTTCTCCAAGAACTGGAAAAGATCAGCAAGGGTCCAGCTCTCTC